GGAACAAGAAATAATTTTTTTTTGTTTGTTTTTGATCATCTACATGGACAAATTATCTGTACGACGGCTTTTTTTAGTGGACTTCCTCCTAGATGGGTCAACGAAACTGGGATTGTGGCATTGTACTTCTTCACTATATGCGATATTGCACTTCTGGGGACATTCCAATCGCCAGCAATGAGTTTTTCTATTTGCCCACAATTCGTTATATTAACCCCAAACCCGAATATATCGCTTGTCATTTCTATTTGGTTGTTTGTGACCGTATATTACAATTTTGTGTGAATTAAATATTCATTCAAATGACCTCATAACACTTTGCCAAAAACAAAAACTATTATACCTATAATTTATTTAAATTCGTCAGAGTTGCATATGTTTTGACCCAGCTAATATTGAGTTATCTATTTTATCAATAAACTTTCCAGCAAAATACCAAAAAAAAATACCAAGTTGATATATTTTCCACATAGTCAATTTCAGTTGCATATGTTTTGACCACTACTGTATATACAACCCTAATCTCTTAGATTAGTACGAATTTTCTAGAAACGTTAAATCTGTTACAATTTTTTATAAATATAAAGTGGACATATTCCAATATTATTATTTCAAAGTTTAGAAATCTAATTTTAAAAATTATTAGTTTTATTAAAGTATATACGGAATATATATAGACAATTTACATATATCAACTATCATGATGATATTTCCATATTTGCAATTTGTGCTATATATCCCACTATTTATTCAAAATTCCTCTTTTTTGAACTAAATACAAACCATGATGATAATACCACAACACTATACACCCATCAACATGTGTACTTATGTGTGTAGGTGTTCTTTCTATCTGTGCACATGTGACGTGGCCAAATAGCATACCGCCGCCACAGCAATTATATAATTTATTTTAATTTTATTCATCGTTAATTATCAATTTTAGACTAATTAAATTAGTTGTTTGCACAGGCTAAATACAAATTTAACAACTCGCCTCAAATCCCTAGCAAAAACTGTCAGATTATTGAACAACAACAACAACGACACATACAAAAAAAGGAAATCACAAAATAAAATAAAAAGCAAAGCATACTTTGTGGCATAGCACCTAAAATATATTAAATGCAATACTGCATTTGGGGATATGCATTTAATTGTGTGTGTGTGTGTGTGTGTGAGTGAGTGTACATATTACAGTATATAAATTTGTATGTATTGAAATTGTTGCTGTTGTTATTATTATCATGATCAAATTTCTTGTTGTTGCAGTTGCCTTTGGTGTTTGTTTGTGTGTGTGCGTGCGTGCGTTTGTCCGATAATTAATTTTTGCCATTTCAAACCCGTTATAATCAAAGCCACTCTGTTTCTCTTTGCAAAATTTGAAAATTTATATCATACGCTCACAAAATTATTATTACATGATTACGACAATACATATGTATGTGTATACTTACATATATGTATGTATGTTATGCTCGCCATATATGACAACACGAACCGGCAGTTTTGGGGAGATAATTTCACAAATTATTATTTTTTTGTTCGGGTTTGCATACGAATTATTATTGGAAGCCTTAATCTAAATGGCAATTTCCATAATATTTCCATATATTTATTATTTTGAGGTTCCAAAATGAATTTCGAATGAATAAATACAATCAATGATGGACCACCACTCTGAGAGACCACATCAATTGCCATAATAGCAATTATCACTGTAACAATCAATGACGATGATGATGGTAATGATAATGATTATGAAACTCTAAAGTCAAATGTCTAACCCAAAAGGACAATGAGCATGTATGCCCGTACGTACGTGTGTGTGTGAATCGGTGAGTGTATGTGATTTATTGTATTCATGCAAATAAATAGTAACAATTATGAAAATTATTTTCACATTTAAATGCTTTTGAAAAATATGATGATTGCAAGGTTTTGGTTATAATTTCAAACGAAATTTAATCTATGTAGTTGGTAAAGATTTGAAAATAGCCAATTATTATTTAAAATATTATCTTGTTTTTTGTTAATATTGAAAAAAAAATTGAACATAACCTAAAATATGTTTATAAGTAAATAAAAACTACCGAGATTGCAGTTATTCTCTTTAGGATTTAACGGATATTATCTGCAGGAAAAAAATCTGTTTAAAATTACTGCTAACAAAACGGAAAATATATAAACCAACCCTTGTGCATCTTCTAATCTACTAACACGTTCACACTCTAATATTACAATACAACAGCCATACATCCAGTCAACCAATCCCACCAAGTCAGTCCATAACAATACAAATTCTTTAACTTTTTAATTATGTAATAATCACAAAGTTTTGAAAAATACACTTTTCTTGTAATTTTCCTCTGGTCGATGATTGTGTTTTTGTTGCTAATGCGACCAAACCAAAACGGTTGTCTTGGCACAGCTGACAAAGAAAATAAGCAGCCGACACAGAAGGAATACTAAAGCAAAAATAATCAGCATTCAGTGAGACCGGTGGGGAGGAGGGAGTTTGGGACAATGTTAATGCTAATATTGTTATTGTGGCTGAAAAGTTTTATATAATTTCTGTAGAAAGTATTTGTAATGACTCCCATTTTGTTTTTTTTTTTTTTTTTTTGGTGGCCAAAACAAATCGAAAACAAAAGTAATTGTCTGCAAGAATGTGTCATAATTTTAATTCTATATATTATAATATTCATATTATTGCATTGGTTTAAAAAAAAATAATATATATTTGACAACAAAACATAAACATGATAAAAATTTCACTCGGAACTGACTCTCATTTACTAAACTTTTATATTATTAAACAACATTCAGTAACAATTTGTACAAATTGTTACAAATTATTGGGATATCAAACAAACGTACTCTTTTAAATTTTTCAGTATCGAATTTATAAACAACCTTACCCCTTGGTGAACAATGTCATATTTTCCCCACTGATAATCGTTGTATTTTTTTTTATAAAACAACAAACTAAAATTACGCCTGACTATTTGAATAAAAACAAACGAATAACATGTGATTAGCAATCCTAAAAGTATGCTGCATATATGAAAATTAAAAAAAATGTCAACAAGGTTATTATCCTATAAACAAAACCAACAACTTATTTCAATTTCTTTATTTTTTACCAATTTTATATTTTTCGGAATTCCTCCTACTCTGACTCTCATTATAGACTTCTTGAATGTTTCGCCATAGCATTTAGCAACTCATCAAATTTCAATTAATTTTCTCCGTTTTCCAGAATCAACAACAAAAAACTACTTGTCTTCATTTCTGCTGTTATTGTTGTTTGAAACAACATCTTAGTTTTTTTCCCCCTCTTTATCATATCATTGTTGGTTTACTTCTGTTTGTCTTCTCATTATTGCCGACGACGACGACGACGTGACAGAGTTAGTTGTTGTTATTGTTGTTCTTATATCTTTGTGCCAATTAAAGAAGTTTTCTTAACAAAAGTGAAACTCTTCCTGTCACACTACTGACAATCACACGCACACTACGACAGTCAACCAGTCGGCAGCTCGTTCATCCTGACAAAGCTTAAGGTAAACTTGGCGAATGGTTAAAAGTTGCTCATTTACATGATATCTATCTTTGCATTGTCTATTTTTAAGCTGGATGATTACAGCATAATGACGTTCCGTCATTTCGCCACTCGGCCCGTCGCATCAACTGTTAGTCAAGAAATGCCAACTTTGTTCGATACCATTTCTTTTTTTCTTTCGAAAAATATACAACGAATAGCAGCAACAACAATTTGAAATACGAAAGATGAAGAAATGTTATTATACAGCAATTAATTAACCATGCTTTCATTAACTCGTTCAGCTCACGCTCCATCCTGGCCTTATCCCTTTCGGCTTAAAAGATGAAAAAAAAATAACTGGAAGAAGGAATGAAAACTTTGTACACGAAATAATTTCTTCAAAACAAATCTTACTTTTCGAAACGACGCCGGGAGAGAATATTGATGCTGACAATGGTGGCGGCATTTGGGCAAGATATACAAAATAATGTCTAAAAGTATGCTGTGCCATAGTAGCTACAACCAACCATAAAGTAGTCAATGGTATCCACGTGACAACAGCTTTTGAAGAATGCCATAATTTTTTGTTATCGTTTCGACATTTCCATTGAATTGTTATAATTAGAGGATTGTTATTTCAAGGACTTATGTAGCGTCTTCTACAGTAAAATATGACTATACATTCCTTAATGAACTGGAGATATATTTTTGACCTTTAAACTTTATAATGTTGTGGCCTAAATGCTGTCAGTTGTGAATTCTTTTTCAACTTTCAAACTAATTAAGATGGAAGTAAACAGTAAATTATTTGTATTTGTACTTTGTCTATATTTTGTGTTGTGTAGACCGTCGGCAAAGTTTAGAATGAAAATTAACGTTCGATTTATAAGAATTAAATAAGAAGATGTAGTAAGGAAAAGATCAGTGACGTGTGGAGTGGAATATATGGCTTTAATAGTTTTAAATAGTTCATATATAATGAAAATATACATATATATGTAGGAGGTTGTAAAACGTTTCAAAATTATGAAGGGTAAATCGAAAATTGTTTATATTAATAGAACATGTCAACAATATAGAATATGATCAGTTTCAGTTTCGTAATAGTTTTTAATTTTACATTTATAGATTAAAAAAATATTTCACAACTTTGTGATGAAAAACTATAAAATCCATTTTTTCGAAGTCAATTTCTATATAATATATTTTCTATATATTTTCTAATATATTTTCTATTAAATATCGCCTTTAGCCAAACACCTCCTAACAATATGCCACATATTTTAAACTCAAAGAACATCCTCAAAATCGATCATTGTTTTCCTCACAAAACCACATAGAGCTGTGGGGTTTTCCCCCATTCTTTACAATTCCACACTTTCTGTTCAGATGTACAAACTTGTATAAAAACCAAAAAAAAAAAAAACAAAAAAGACCGAACTCAAGGACTTACCTCGTTTCTGTGGCTGTTGTATTGATGAAGATGGTGACGGTATACATTGGACAAATACCAATGATGAAATTGCAATCCATAACCAAAGGCAAAATATCCAAGTGGAGGAAGTACCCAACAATGACCGCTGCCAACAGCAAGAAGATCTATTGACGTGTCCTTTTCTATTGGTGTTCCTCCGACGGCAGCTGCTGCAGCCGATACTGCCGCCGTTGTCGTTATGTTTACAATTTTTTATGTTGTTAGCAGTGATGTTGAAATTGTTGCCGATACAGTTATTGTTGTTGTTGTTGTTATTGGCATTGTTGTTCCATTCAAGTGTTGTTAGTTGGCTATAATATTGTTTTCTGTTGTCGATTTGAGCTACTTTGCTGTTGTCAGTATTTGTATTGTATTGAAGTTTTCCACCAGCTCCAGTCGTTGGCGGTGGCGATGATGGTTGAGACGATGCTGATTCTCTGGCTGTCGTCGTTGTTGTTATTTTATATTTACACTGACTTTCAATGTTGGTTGGTAGTGTTGGTATTGGCATTCTTGTTGCCGTTGTTGTTATTATGTCATTGGATTTATTAAAATTGATATTTTGCCACAATGGCAATAATAACTGTGTTGAAGACGACGACAATCTCGATGGGGATGACAATTTTCTTTTCATACTTGGGCTTGTTGTTGTTGCCTTTATTGATGTTGTACGTTTAAGCAACATAATTGTTGCGTTTATCCCGGTAATCTCTTTCGTTATTTTTTTTAACTTACTTATGTATTTTGTTTTGTTACTTCTTGAATTTGACGACAAATCGTATTTGTATTTGTATTTTTTTTTAATTTAATAAACAATAGAATTTGTTTTCTGGTGGCTTTAGTAAATTTCTACTTTAAATAGTGCTATTGAAATAAAAATTGAACTTCTTGAAAAATGACTTTTCGTGGAAAGCATTTTGCGCACTTGATCTGCTAATGATATATTTATAAAAAATCGAAAACGTAAACAACAGAGATTAGAGTTAACACGAGAATAGATTTGTATAATGACAGTCTTCTCACTGATTTACCTATTATGAGTTCCAAGACATTATGGAAATCAAATTAAAAAAAACTTACAAAAAGGTCTGGGATTTTCACAAGTTTTAAGGGAATTATTTTAGCTGTATTTTCGAAATAAATGATATATTTTCATATGTTGCATTAAATATAATTGCAAGAATGTACCATGTGGTATTTGTATATTGACATGATTTACACTATCTATCTATAAAGAAACATATTCCTATATTTGGAAAAGGTTCCCTGAATTGGTGGGATTTGAATTGCAGAACTCGTTTAACTCGTTATATTATATACTCGTTTTCATAATGCCCTTCCACGTGTTATTGTGATTTCATAAAAGCGGACAAATAAGACATGAAAAAAGTAAACACATAATAAATTACTTGTTTTTGTTTTCAAAAATTTGCAAAATTTGCCACTTTTTATTGTTTTGCAATTAGTTTTATTAAAAATTGCACACTCCAGATGGGCATACAATTTGTGTTAATTCTCACATTGCGTTTGCATATCATATATTTGGGCACAACAAAATTCACTTTAAATGGCACGACATTAAAAAATCACTGGAGAAGGAGCGAATTGGAAAAATCATCCGCGCACCGTTAGAAAATACGAACCGACGAGCTCGAACTGAAACTAAAATCACATCAGTATTAACATCATAATAACAAACGAAACACACGACGCGACAGACGAGTGATACAATGTTGTCGAGCAGCAGCAGTAGTAGTAGTAAACGAAGCCAGCGACAGAAGAAGGACGAAAATGAAAGAAGGAAACCGAAAGGAAAACAAATCAAATACGAAGCAACACAATCCAAGCTATCCGTCAGATGTGAAAAGCTTTTCTGTTTGGAGTTTGTTTTTCTTTTCTTTGGTTTGTTTGTTTGTATTTTTTAAACGACGAATACTATAATCTGAAGTTTCGTTGAGCTCCCCGTATTGATTGTGTCCATCTATTCAACCGTAATCCAGATTCGCATATGAGACGAGTATCCCACAACAAGCCACTCACGAGTTCATCGAAAACTAAACTCCATCGCCAGATGAACGATGCTTAAATAATAAACTGTGTAATGTAAGGTACGAAACGGTAAAGCTCAATGTAGCAAACGGTTTTAAAAGTTTCATTTGTTTACATGGAAAAGCTCTGCACATGTGTGTGATACAACTTTTGCACTCTCTCTCTCTCTCTCTGCCTCTCTATCCAAGCATGTTAAAGGGGATGCATTTTAATCATTTTGGGACAGAATAAAATAGGAGGGGAAATGTATATCTGTGATATATTGCGGAGAGGTATAAACTCTGGAGAGTTTCTCATAGAAAGTAACTGAATGTTACTCCTACAAATAGTTTGGATAATAATTCGGTTGAACATAAATCCGAAAATTACTAAAAAATCTTGACAAAAGGACCAAAAAAATGTTGTTTTGCTTTGCCTTCGAGAAGTTATATATATAGGTATATATATAGACAACTTTTTCAATCGACAAATAAATCCAACCGTATACTTTATGTTCCATTTTTGGATATAAAGTAACTAGATCACTAAGTAACTAGCTATATAAATACGTAATAGAGGATAATTGATATTTTTGAACAACTAGGATCCCAGTTGTTCAAAAAATATCAATTGTCTGCTTTTATATAGTTATATAGCTAGTTATTAGTTTCTTTATACCCCAAAGAGGTACACAAAATAGAATGTTGGATTAATTTGTCGATTGAAAAAGTTGTCTAAGCATATCATACCCATTCGGTAGTTACTGGTAATGCAAAGCGTAGTGAATCGACTATTTTATAGATTACCGGTGGAAATATTAATAATCAATGTTGCTCTCTTCGATATAAATTTTAAAAGCAAATGCCGATTTAAAATGCGTTTTCCCCATAAATAAATAAATATCAATATTGAACGAAATATAGATGATATATCTAAGGTAAGTTTTGATATTGAAACATAATACAGACCAATGTAATCCTTGCAATACAGGAAGAGGGAGACATATTTGAAAAGCACCAGGCAGAAAAGAAGCGTGTTCTAGGATGGATCAAACAATATACATATGTATATACAATACTCAATTGTAATAAATCTCTTTGTACATAATAAATTTTATAAAATATTTCAAATTTTCAAAACTGTTATACAATCTAATTTGCTATATATACGTAACTAGGCATTTAGATTACACTTTGTATCTACCCAAGTAGCTGACTATAAGATACTAGTCAAATGTACTACCATTTTGTACTACCGAAATGACTGTATACGTGTAACGCAGGCATGGGACAATTGACTTCCCCAATGATATACTCATGTTAAATTCACCAGTCTAGGGCATGACTGGTGAATTTAACATGTAACTAACTAGTGGTACTTACATGTAATTAGTGAAATAACTAGTTCATAACCAGTTACCCGAACAACTGGGATAGTATTCAAAACAATACACGCACATACACAAAATATAAATACATGTCCCAGTAGTTCGAGTAACTGGTGATGAACTAGATATTTTACTAATTACCTGTAAGTACCACTAGTTACCACTTCATGCCCTAGACTGGTGAATTTAACATGTGTATGTCATTGGGGAAGTCAATTGTCCCCTGCCTGCGTTACCAGTATACAGTCATTTCGATAGTCAATTCATTACCCTTTGCATTACCAGTAACTACTGAATTGGTATGATGTGTGTAAACAACTTTTTCAGTTGACAAAAAAATCCAACAGTCTATTTTCCCAGTTGTTCAATGAATAGCAATTGTCTGCTATTGTATAGTTATATAGCTAGTTACTATGTTCACTAGTTACTTTATACCCAAAAGTGGCACACAAAATAGATAATTGACTTCATTTGTTGAATGAAAAGGCTATCTAATTCTGTAGTTACTGGTAATGCAAAAAGTAGTGAATCGACAAACAAAACAAAAAAAAAAAGAATTGTCATTTTCTTCAGACTTTTTATAATTTACAGAATTGTGAAAGAAATTTGTTTTTAAAAATATTCCTTTAAACATATATAAGTCATATATATCCACGATATACAAGATTAAGTGCTGTTGAATTAAAAATCTCGGAATCTTAAAAATACGTATGATGAATCTTGGGTAAGTTTTGATATTGCAACACAATAAATACATATGTACGTAATATTTCAACATTATTATCTTACAGATTTTCAATAGATGTCACTCCAGAAGCATCCAACAGATTGAGAAAACAATTAAAAGTTTTTAATAGGTAAATATTCTCCAAAAAGACCCATATCTTTATTTATGTATATTTTGTAATTTTCTGTTTCAGAGGAGTCAATATTGCAATTATTTCGTAGAGAACGGATGCTAAAAGCGGTCAAGAAATGCAAATGTCAATATGGTGGCGTAAAAATTCTGATAAGATTAAAGGAATCATAGACTATGTATAATATAAATTATGAAATAAATAAAAAATACATATTCCGTATAACATTTATATTTTAAATTTTCCAAACTGTTATAATTGCCAATTTGCTATATATTTGTAACTAGTGACAATACTTAAAAATTGTATCTACCCAAATGACTGGTTACTGGTAATGCAGGCAGGGGACAATTGACTTCCCCAATGACATACCCATGTTAAATTCACCAGTCTAGGGCATGATGTGGTAACTAGTGGTTACAGGTAATTAGTAAAATAACTAGTTCATAACCAGTTACTCGAACTACTGGGTTGTGTTCCTTTTTGGGGTATGAAGTAACTAGATCACCAAGTAACTAGCTATATAACTATATAACAGCAGACAATTGATATTTTTTGTACAACTGGGGTGTTTTACTATGGTGTTGAATAACGTCGAACACCCTAGTTGAATTTTATATAGAACTCTTTCATTATAAAAAAAGATATTATATATTATATATGTATATGAAAAAAAATAGTTTTATATACGTTTTATTTACTTTTGAAGCCCCGAAATTTGTAACGCTGTACAATGAAAATTCCAACATAACGATTAAATGGTCCTAAACACGTTCAGTGTAGTGTTCAGTGTTTTTATTCGCCGTTATTGCTTAGAACAACTCTAGTTCATTCAAGGTATATTTAATGAATATACCATGAGTTCATTCAATCATGTTTCATTACCATTTTGGACCTGCTTTCGTAAACATATGGTCTTTATCGACCATTCCCTACTGTCTCGGCCATTCGCATTGCTCTATTGCGTTGTTGGAATTTAGGAAGTTGGAAATAAATAAACTTTATCCGGATGACTTGTAAAATACACATTGATAATGGCCAAAAGATGAAAGTGTCCAAACACAATGTTTTCATTTTTAATTGGGTCAATGATTACCAATCCCATATAGATTTGCTACAGAAGACCTTTCAAAGTAGCAAAATTAATAATCGTGTCTGTGTTTTTGATCAGCTCACAGCCGACGAATTAAAATGGAAAATTGAAGAACGTACATTAACTTTCGGCCAATTGTATGTCTATTCATCTTTGAATAATTCTATTTTTATATTTTCCAGTGAGACAACTGAATTTTGGACTATTTCGTTATGTAGCTGTGGTAATACTGGATAACCGAAGCACCAATGAACATTTTATTCAGACCAGTAACAATGAAGGCATATTGCTTGATTCGGAAATATTAACGCCCTTCAAGACCAACGAAACACTCGACAAGAAGCCACGTCTCTTTGTTATACAAAAATTACAAGATTACAGTGTCGAGGACGATGGAAGTGTTTTAGAAAGACAGAAATTCTTGAAAACCCAGAATTTGTATAAAAAATCTACCAGACTATATGAAGGTCCTGAGTTTTCTATACAAGCTAACGAGAGTACAGACCATTTCAAGGAGAGTCCATTCATAAAAGTATTATGTCAAGAATTTTCGAACTCAACTGTTCTACCAATGAAACAAATATTTTCTCAAATAAGGAAGTCATGCACGTATGTAATTTCAATACATATATGTAGGTATTTCAAAACGATAAAGGTATTACCGTTTTACTTTCTTTCAGTGTCCCCCTAATGTTTGGTTCAAATCAACGTAGTGATGAGGATGGTATATTGGGAATAGCTATAGAACCAGACGATTTAAGAGACTATTTTTGAAACATTTTTAAGAAACAATGGCAACTACTGAAGCGAGATATTTTGCTGATCAAATTATCATATTAGCCCTGTTATAAATTTCTTACATTTTAGATTTTGGTATTGCAATATTTTATACACAATTTTCAAAAGTCTTGTAGTTTTTGTTTTAAAGCACTGGTATGATAGACTTCCCTTTGCAGCCAATATAACAGTTCAGCGTGGGCTTCCTTGTTATTCATGGACACACATTCGATATTTTTCAAATGTTCCAAAAATGTTGCCTTCATATAACGTTTGATACAAGGCATTCCACCCAATTCGCGTAGAAGCTTAAATAAGAATTTCATGCGTTTGGGATGAAAGTTAAAAGGTTTTGATCATACACACCTGAAGACAACACAACTGCATCTTTTGATTTGTGGTATTCCTTACTATATCGGTTACAATCGAAGGCAGATCTGTGAATTCCCGACATCTCCACATAACTGGTTTGGATAGAATGCCATTCATTAAAGTAAGCACAACATTTTCATAGGTATCCAACTTTTCAACGGGATCATTGAGTATGTCATACATTTCTTTGACGCCATCAATGGCCATAAAACGCTTCCGGCCTTCATCCGAACCACACAACATACCAAAACATTTTAAATCGAACCGATGGTATTGAAATAGCCGTCCTTTTATTCGTTTATAAAGTATTTCAAAGAAACCACATTTTATTGCCTCATCGGGAATATATTGCAGAATATGTTGCAGATGTAACCACAATGCTTCGGGATAATATGGAACACATATATCAGGCGAATAAATATTTATCAGTTTATCCAAAACATTGTAGGAGTTTATTAAAACCACTGCTGCGGCATGTTGTTCGCTGAGCAGAGATAAAATTGCCGAGGCTTTTATCATGTGCATATCACGTTTGGCAGCTATTTCATAGAGTTGATCCAACAAACGATTACTACGTACTATTTGATAGACACCATTCAAATGTTTTGAAATGTAATCTATGGAACATTTTTATAAATTTGTTTTATTCTTTCCCCACATTTCGCTAATAAATCTTTGACTTACAGAATATTGTTAATAGGCAGTCCAAATGGCGATATTTGGATTCTTCATATTTCATCCGAATGCGTAAAAAAATATTTTGGCATCTACAAAAGATGAGAAAAGATATATGAAACATCAAGTGTTATTGACGACATAAGTCGAAAACAGACATATGAGATATCCATAAGACAGAAATTTCTGGGGAATCGATTTTATATAATGCTCACATTCCAGGCCTAGGCTTAAGGAATAAGTATGGAATATTTTATGACCAAACTCTGTCTCTCAGAAGATGGTTTTAAGATAGCGAAGGTTTAAGCAATCCGTTTCGACAAACAACTTTTGCAGAGTGTTAACAGGTCAAAAATATTTTATAAAAAAGTTGTTTTTGATGCTTAGTTTCTCAAATTTAGCTTAAACAATCCTTCTTCATACTTTGACTTTGGATATATAATATCACCAATAATATTGGCGACCCCATCCCCCTAAATGGTGTACAAAAATTCAAAATCTTCATACGTACTTCATTAAGTTAAACACTTACCTCCTAACAATTTGGAATTGTGTTATTGCCCTTTGGGCATGTAAAGGATTTCGAACGTATTCCGATAATGAGTTGATGGCCCTGAATTGTGTCGTGGCATCATCACTTCCAATTTCTTTCATAAGCTTGGGCAATGCTCTAAGGCCATAGGCCAGTTCGGCGCGATCATCAAAAAACGTCGACTTGTTGTTGTGGCAGCCGTAATATTGACACTGATTGGGCACTATTTGTTCTACTGGCACTAGAACGTTTTATGGACTGTGTAAAAATTTACATCTATCTTATATTCAAAGCCGAACTTACATTTTGCAATCTCATTTATTGTTGTTGGAGTTAAAAACTTCAATTGCGACTGCAAATAATGGTTGCGACACTTTTCATATTTTTTCCACATATTTTCCAATGTTTTTTTTTTATATTCGCACAAACACACAAATCTAAGCAGCACAAGTTTTCACTTGAAATATTAAAAAAAGTAAAGGGAAGTAAATTATTTGAAAAAAGCTGTCGTCATAGAAAAATAAAAGAAAACTATACTGACATGGCGCAAAATATTTCAAGAGGTTGCCATACATTTACGAAAAATAGGCTTTATTTGAAAACGTCTTGCTTCGACTTGCGTATCCCTAGCCAGTCTTCTTCTTACGACATTCGCCAAACATCGACTTCGAAATCCCTAGTTCAGTTGTTTTTCGTCAGTCAGTCAGTCGTATTTTGTTCTTTGTTGTGTTCGTGTCGTCCGTTCAAATCTCGCCTCGTATTTAAAAGGGTTTCATTTTATTTTTTTATTTGCGAAAAAAGGAATACAAAGGAAACCGAGCTGTAAAGTAAAAAACGATAGCAAAGAAAGAAAACAACAAGTCTATTGCAATCTATGTATAATTTGCGAAAACAGCAACAACAATTAATATTTCATAAACAAATTCGAAAAAAAATATTTAGAAATACCCTCGAAAATGTAAAACATTGTTCCAGAATTAGAAATTTAAAAAAGTGATAGAAGAAAAATTGGAACAAAAACAACAATCACTGCCCGAAATTTTTTTATAATTTATTCGTAGTATTAATGAATTAATAAATAAAACTCATCGGCTGGCTATACAAGAACTCAGAACAGCGGCAAAGCAACAACAACAACTGAAGATATGTCACTAGCAAGACTGGCGAGGTAAGTTGTTGTTTTAGGGACCAACATTGAACGCACTTTTAATACCAACATGCCCGATAGGAGAACTAACTTCAACTCCTTTTCTGTCTTGTTTGGACATGTAAATAATGAAGGCTTGTTGCAGGCTAACAACAGGCATTTCAGTGTGTTTAGACCATCTTCAACAGGGCCGATTTAATCTGGTTACAACAACAACATTCTACGAAATGAATCATTTGCTTTGGTATGTTTGTTTATTTTTCGAGACAGAGAACAACGACAGGAACGTTAACAGGACTTGATAGTGTATCGAGGTACAATGGCACAATGCGGGAAAATGTTAAACTAACTGCCCAAAATACATTTTCGAACGCGGAGGATGTTCGTTCACCATAGTTAATATCATCACATGTTGAATTGGAAAGATCAAATCTTAAAAAATTCTTCCCAAAAATAAATTCTTGACAAAATACACTTATTAATTAAGATTGTGAATACATCCACGAAAAAACATTAATGGAATTTTCTTAAAATTAACTTATAACGAAAGATATTCCCCCCATCAGTGTCGATAGGCCTTCAATATTTTATGAAAAATAATTACATAAAATATTGCACTGCTCTGAACAAGATGTTTTATTTTGAGTTTACGAATACTGCAAGAATCCACAAATTTTTTATTGTTATCGTAGTACAAATTGGTAGATTCTTGCAAACTACATTTGTATACGTCATTGTCATCAAAGATTAAAAGGAGCGATCTTTTTTAAAAAAGAATCAAATTTCAGAACATAATTTAATGTTTAAAGATTATTTCATGCAAAGTAAAATCATTTGGATTCCTTTACCTTCAACCAACTATCATTCCTCTGTTCCATAATCTACACGAATCTTTTTCTAATCGGAATTGTATCAATTCTAAATTTAATTAGTTTTACCACTTTTTGAATATGGAAACCAGACCATTTATTCTGAACTACATAAGTAAACCATGATTTTTTTTTTTTTTTTTTTTGAATAAAATATCATTTTTTATATATTTTGTGTATCCAAACTGATGCGTATAATTAATTAAATACTAAATATTATGTATACGCAATATTTACAATATCGCAATATCGGCCTACAAGAGGACCCGGTGTTCTTTGTTGTCGAATTTTTGTTGCTTCCATTATATCTCTGATTTTGTAATTTCCAATGAAAGGTTAGGGCAGCCAGCCATTACACGAAGACAACCGTGGCAGTAATGGATGTCATTGTACTCTGCTGCAGCTAACCACCGCATGGTAGTCACACTCATTTCTGTAGCGGACTGACTGCTGTGTGTTGATGACACACATTGATGAGTATCTGTTTTGGTGCATTTCGTGTTTTCCACAGTATTGTTACTATCATCGTCATTATTCTCATTCTCCTATTGTTGGTGTTGTTCGCTTTTCTGGCTGGCTGGCTGGCTGGCTGGCTATAGACACACTGGGTTGGGTGCAGAGTACATGCATGCACACCGTCGTTTGGCATGTCATTCCGTTTAACCACAACTCACGAATATCGATCCAATAGAGTGGTAGTAGAACACAAGAGTAGTTGCTTTTGCAATTTTGTTGTTGTCGTCTCAAAATCTAATCGATGAAACAAAACCCAAATCAAGAATAATTTGCATTTGTTTTCTTTTCGGTATGTTCCACGAATTGCTTTTGATGATTTACGATGTGACTAATAATTAGCACCCCAAACGAAATGGAAAACATTTTATTTTCTGATTTGTTTAATAAATTTCAACAAAACAAAACACACGCCAACAACAATGGTTCAATGAAAAGAAATTAAACAAAGTATTGAAAACAATAACGAAAAGCAGCTGCCATTTCTATCAAATGTTGATTGTTATTTGTTTTATTTGACAAACGTTTTCCAGACATAGAATATAGCAATTTTCTGTTCTATTAGTTACAAAAGTCACGACGGTTCAGGCTGAACCTAGATCACACAACTGGTCGTGCGGTATGATCAATTAACAACTTATTTTTTTTTTTTCTGGAACAAAGCATGTGATTTAGAAATAATGAAAATGAAAAATAATAACATTTTTATTTATTGCCTTTCATTCATACATTTATTTTTGTTCGAAAAAGTGTTAATCAATAATTATTAAACTTCAAATTTAATTTGTTGTTGTATTATGTTTATATGTATATGAACATACACACACATATCGATATATAGAATCGTTAAGGTTTCGTTTTTTATCGTCCATTAATAAATTGCATTTATTTTTTTTTATCGAATTGAAATGTGTACATTCATGTGATGTGGAAGTTATCAATTCTACACAAATCAGAATATCCAATATTTAATTATGTATATTATTTTTCGAGAAGGCATTTGATTGTCGAAAAATATTCTAATACCTTTTAAGGTATGTGTAGCTCTAAAACGCTAATTTTGACAAATATTTGCTATCTGAAATATAGGGTTTGTCACTTCTACAACGCATTTAAACATAAAAATATAAAATACATGTTTAATTAGCAACATGTGGTTTCGTATGTACATACATATATAATACTCAAAATGCTATGATTTGTAGCTATGCTACGCATTGATTTTAGACAAACCATACATTTTACGAGTTAACTAAGAATACCAGTTAATGTTTATAAAATATTTAACGATAAAATAATGATTGTTCGTTTTTTGTGAAAGTAGAAAATATTGTTTGTTAACCTATATGGTTTTGATTTGAATATTAATGGTATAGTGTAGCCCAAGATTGTTACGATTCCTGAGTTTTACCACTTCCAGTTTTGTAAAATATTGGCAAGAATCTGTTTTTTATTCAATTCTATGTTTTAGTGAAACCCATACATAAACCCATTTTTTGTTTTTAAATTCTCTCCGCAAAATCATTGTGGATATTTAGAAGAGGAATTTCAACCACGCTCAAAATTATGTATTATTCAGACGATCAACATAACAATCATTTGCAAGAATTGCCTTATTCTTGTGAAAACATCTCTTAGTGTTAACACTGACCTATGTTATGTTGAATTGTTATAAAAATAAATTCCTATCTATTTAATGATTACGCCAATAATAATATAATTTAAAAACTAAACAAAACTACTGCAAACTCGAACAAAATAAACAAAACGGTGACAGTTGATCGTCCGTCGCACAGGCGGTCTGAACAACGATGGCAACACTTCAATGAACTGTAATGACTGATAAAGAAAACTTCAATTAATATTAAATGCTAGCTCCGATGAATGTAGTTGTCAATGATGTGGAGAAGTGGCCACTGGAGTGCCTCGAACATGCAAATACAAAATGCGAATGTATTTATTTCCACTGGTATGTGTGTGTGTGTGTGAGTGCGTGATGATGTGACAAGTGCTGCAACACGACTGCATTTAAAATCCAGAAGAGAAAAACAACCGTCAACGACATTTTAGAGATAAAACACAGTGTTGTTCGATATCAGCCATAAGTCAGCCAGCACCAATTCAGCAACCGGCCATACAGACATGTAACAACATAAGATGACTGTCGACTAGTTTACAATTTAAAATTAACTGTGAAAAACAACTTTTTTTCCTTTAAAATGGTGAAGTCTGCGATTGTGCGATTTTATTTGCTTCTAAAAATAGCATTTATATACAAAAATAAACAAGATTGATGCGAAGTTTATTTGTTGACTGAATGGGTGGGGTCATATCAGTAATAAATAAAATATTGTAATTTTCCCAAAGATTTAATATTATTCAAACTTGTTTGATATTGAAACTACAAATACATTTCAAACATATTTGTATTGCTGATGCCAGACTATTTCAAAATGGTCTGAAAAATTAAGAACTCGTGTTAAATGTGCATGCTATTTCATTTTGCGAAATGTTCGGCCTAATTGGTAAAGTTGTAATTTATATTACAATTAATAAATAGCTTGGTTATTATTAAATTAAAACTATTCGTTTTTTATGGGTTTGTTTATTCAATTTGGACGACCAACAACCACTCTAATGTGCAAACAAGTTTGGTAGATTATGAATTCATACGAGAGCCGTACGTATTTATCTTTACGAAATAAACAAAGTTTGTTTTGGATGCAAAACAACAACAAGAATAAGATTGTTTTTCGCTTTCGAAAAATAAAATTGCGTCTCGGATAGGTAAATACAATGTTGATTCGAGCCATAAAATACTGAAAAAACAAAAACACGAATTTCAAAACGTTAAAACAAACAACATCACCAAAAAGACAAAGAGAATGAAGTGTTAATGGCTAATTTTGGCCAAAATATTAATACCGAGCTATGTTTGTTTACTAATTTCTACTGGTAGAAGTTCTTGGTGAAGGCAATTAACATTCAAAACACACTACGTTTGTCACAAATTCAATCACACACATACACGTATATATATATATATATATATATATATTCCACAACAAATAGTTATTGCAATTGATTCACTATTTGCTGGCCGGCATTGTATTGCACTTCTCTCTGTATATTCTAGTCTCGTATCAATATTTTGCATGCACCGTCGTTGTCTAGCAGTTTGCATCGCTATGGTGACTGTTTTTATTGTTGTTGTTTGGGTCGTTTCCCTTTGCGGATAAAACTGGCGAAAACCACTTTTAGGCGGCTGAATACCAAAAAAAAAAAAACACTGCAGCACACAATGCCGTCGTCGCCGACCATCTCTTCGATCCCGAAGTACCTACCAAACGATCGGTCTACGGTCTAAATGAATGATCTATGAAATATAACAACAAAAACAAAAGCCAAGAAATTGAATTGAAATTGAAATAATTGAAAATGTATGTTGATACATATGTACATACATCAACGCGAATGAATATATGCGCTCCAATTGGGGTCGGGTTTAGAAGAAAACAGAATTATTTTTCTTTTTGTTGTAAATATCGAAATGCTCTATTTTATTATTAGATGTCACAACATTTGTTGTCACGTGTGTGTATGCGTCGTGTGTTAATGGGGCACAATTGTCCCAGTATTGATCACCTTCTTGTCCATGACTATAGCAAAAATTGGCATCCACAAGCAAAATCAATGGAATTTATAATTCCATATATTATTGATGAGCAAATTGTTGATTTTCGGCTGCTTATCGTATAATGTTCGAGGTGTTTTTCGAATGAAAGAAAACAAATAAATAAATAACAATTTAATTGTGTACATATATAAATATTTGTTAGTTTAACAATGATTTTCATTCATAAATGAAAAGTGTTTTTTTCGTTTCTTAGGAAATAATTGGCAATACAATTTGTTGTGAAAAAATCCATAATAAAAATATGCTGAAGTGTATTAATAATTTGCATCCTCGTTAAAGAGTTTTAACTGTATTCTCTGCTTGGCGTGCATGCTTTCAGAAAAATGCAATGATAAAGATCACGTACACCACACCACCGCCCTAAATTGATCGTTGTTTATAAACTTGTGTTGGCCATTCTGTAAACAGAATTTTCTCAAGCATTCTCTCCATCCGGACAAGATTCTTCCAAACAAACGTGACGCAAATATAATTCAATTATTGTGATATTCTATAATAATTTAATGTTTAATTTAGATACATGCCTAAAATAAAAATTCAAATGTAAATAAATGAACGGTTTGGACAAGATTAGATTAGAAACCCGTAAAGAAATTATGTAACACAATGGTAAATAAAAAAAGTATGAAATGTTTCTCATCAATCAATAGAGAATCGTCAAAAAATAAATGAAAACAAATAAATTACATTGGAATTGTTGTTCCATAATTTTAAGAAATTTCTTGAATGATTTGAGCAAACTGTCATCGTATACGATCCAATTACCGTAAAATGACGGTTAAAATATACCATCCGATATACATATGTATGCACATAAATCCTATAGTTATTTTCTCAAACTACATCTCTTTGCCCATCTCCCTCGCAAGATAATTTCTATGGAGGCTTTAATTGTCATGATATAATTGAATTTCACAATTCAATTTACCGCCAATAATATAAGACAAACAATTTAATTATTTGTGGTTTAGATTGTAGGAAGTGCGACATTCTAAACGCTGCAGAAGTATACATTTGTTGCAATACTTTTGTGAGGAGAGGAGGTCCAGAAAAAAATATAATTTTTAACTAGATATGCAATAGCTGGATTTTCTATCAAAATTCAGGGAAATTTGAATTCTTTATGGCGAATTTTTAAAAACTTCTAGGTAAGATCTTACAATTCAATCATACTGTGCATGAACACACATACTGTGTTGTAATTACACACAATCTTGTCTATGCGCAATATTGGTTGTGAAGTATAAATAACGATTATAGGATTTTATATTTAGACGTGCCCCCAATAACAAAAGTAGTTTTACTTTTTTATTTGCATTACTCTTATACGAGTGGCCAACGGCCACAACAATTGATCAAAACAACAACAAATGCCTAAGCACAGTCACAAAGTCAATGGACTCTCCACAACTGGTGCTGTATTTGGCGGAACGAAAGAGTGGGCGGCAGTAACCGTTTGTCGTCATTTGTGGTTTCTTTCTCTATTGTTTGCAGCAGCACTCAAATCACACGAAATCTTGAAAATGAAGCTGTCGGGATATTATTCAATATAACTCAGCACGAGCGAGGCAAACAAAGAAACGAGAAGGAAACTGAAGCAGAAAACACCGCAACCAATCAACCGACTAACCACATTACGACGCATGCCATGCCAAATACCACAGTAGTAATGGACACAAATTATATGGAGAATGCATTCAAATCGTGCCAAACCAGAGTCAGAGTCATTGACAGTAAAAACTTGTATACGTTCTTTTTTAAATGTGTGACATTAGGTAAAATATATTTAAATGTTAAAACTACAAATTAAAATCATTTAACCATTCCTTTGAAATGTTCTCCAAACGATACCTTCCGATGAGAAAAAGTTTTTAACCAAAGTCCAATTCCCACCCTCAACCCTATAAATTAATTTTCTCCACATATATTACATTAATATATAATGTCATGTCATATAGTTCCTCAACGGAAATAATACAATTAATTGAATAAACGCACACGTCCCTGTAGACAAAACAAATATCTCGTCCAGTTACAGTGGCATAAAGCAATGAACTCAAACGGCTTATTAAGGCAAGCAAGTAAATACCCGTCTCAGTTGGAGGAAGCCATAAGATAGCTTGAATATTTCATTTATTTGTTCATAGTATTTTATGGCACGAATGCAAATTGTATCTATTTTTAGCGTCCTCTCAAATAAAATGTTATCTCGATGTATTTTGATGTCGTTTTTTATGCATGCATTTACTGGCAATAGTCACGATTTCCAGATTTAATTGTCAATAACTTGTTGTTGCCTATTATTATTTTTTAATTTAATTTAACTTACAAAACAAACTTTTTCTAAACGCTATATAAACTCAAATAGAAAAAACCCCTGTATTACAAACAAAACATTCGTATTATTGCAATTATCATTGAGTGATTATAAAGATTTGAAATATGCTGTTCTTATAGATAAAAGTTTATCATATGGAATTATATATTTTTGCAAAATTAACTGGCATTTGGGCATAACAGTATAAATTTAATATAATTTTACTTACATTAAAATGAATATCGACACGAGTCTGTTTTAAGAAGATATGAAAAAGCGAATAAGAGGCCATGTGCAAATAGAGAAATTATCTCAATGATATTTCATTGAGTTTTTCATGTGATGCCTATTCGGTTCTCTATACAGATAAATAGAGCTCTTGATAAGGGTCACAAGACACAATATGCACATGCATGCTAGCCATTGTGCAAATACTATATCCATAGTATATTTATAAGCTGATACGTATCTACATATTCTACAAACAATAGGTGGTACAATGTCAATGATTATTGATTTTTATTTTTCTAATTTAAAGCCAGCAGCAACAACATCAAACAAACATCATCCAGACCTTCACCTTTTTTTGGTATCGATTGAATACTGCGTGTGTGTGTGTTTTATTTACAATTATTTTGTTATTATCTATGCAATAGTAAATAATTTTAATTAATTAATTTATTTATTTGCATCTATTTTTGCTCTGTTGTTATCGTTTTATGGCTAAATTATCACCTGCTTCAAATATTTATAATCAGCGTGTATTTCAAATTTTAAACAGAATGAAGGTAATACCGGTTTATTGACTTGCTGACATTTGTTTTCGTCACAATTTAAATCACAAGAACTTATTTTAAAGTAGCACAACATGTGAATTAAATTTACGCATGCTATAAACATGTCTTAAGACCCCAAATAGATCGTATAATCGTTGTTTTGCCAAAATTTTAATACATTGTTTTTTTTATTTTAAAAATAAGAGGCATTTTGCAATATAAAATTAGATAATTTAATATTAATTTTTTTATAAAAATACCTTATTTATGTTGAGCAATTTTTTATGAAAATTTTTAATTTTATAAAAATCGTCGTGACTTAACAAATTACAAAAAATAAAGGTGGTTGTTCTTTGAATAGTTAGACACTTGCCAAACATTCAAGAAATATGTTTAATATTGTTTAAAATATGTTTATAATTTTATTGCAATATAGTCGGGCGTAATTCCAATTTTTTTAGAGTGATTCTTTTTAATATATATCACATGGTTCAAATTTATATTTAATCAAGGAAAAATAACCGTTTAATTGTTTTAAATATTTTAACCGAGAAGTGTCATAAGTGTATTTTTTCCTAATTAGATATTATTTACTTTTAAGTTCTAATAATTTAAATGTTAATTTACAAATTTTATATTCAAAGCATATTGTAATAATTTATTGGCCCCTTAGGCTTTTCATTACAAAATAAAGATTTAATAATAATAATAATTAACCGTTTAATTGTTTTGAATATTTTAACCGTGAATTATTGTATTGTATAAAATACCAAATCAAATGCCGAAATCACATTTTATATCGCCTTTAATCATCACTTTTAAATAACGCCCAACGCCAAACGCTTTGCCATTTACTCGGATTGTTGTGTTCTGCTGCTGCTATGCCATTCGGACATATGGCAACACCAGATTGGGCAACTAAAAAAACATATGAGACTTTTCCATAAGTTGACAATAGACAACGCGGGAAGAACTAATTAACATCACACACATTTTAGTTCCACGAAAATGGAGCCGTCGTCCAACACTTTAATTTTGAAAAATATTCCAAAACAAGTTGATGATTTGACACAACTTTTGAGCTCGCTGGCGATACCAGCCAAGGAAATAAGACCATTTGGACGGAAACGAGCATTGCTGTTGTATGAGTCTGAGAGTGAAACGGCAGGAGCCTTGGAAAAGCTAAAACAACTACAGTTCAATGGAAAACTTCTCAATATTTCATTGTTTTGTAAGGATAAGCCTCAAGCCAAGAACGATGTTGCTGCTTTACCCAATCCTAAAAGAAGGTTGTCAAAGTGCAACAAAGCGGTGCAGACGCCTTCTTTGCTTACCGAAAACAATGTTGCCTCTATGGAGTCATTACAAATTAGCAAGTATGTTCAAAAGTTATATGCCACAGACGAAGATTTGAGCTTTGATCAACCGCCTCCACCATATTTGAAATACCAATATCCACCCATTAATAAGGGAATACTGGATAATATTTGTGTTTCACTATTAAATAATACAAAATTCTATACACAAGTATTGCATCTGATGAATCGAATGAATTTAGAGCCGCCCTTTCGCGAGAGAAAAGAAAAATATATACCCAGAGGCGAACCAAAGGAAGCATATACCCAAACTGAGCCGGTCACAATCGGTGAAGAGAAATGTACTGATTCCGAATCCGAAATGGAGTCTTCGGATGAAGCTATATCCACTACCAAAAATGAAATTGTTATTCCAAAGAGAAAGCAGCCTCCTTCCGATGAGCAGTATAAGAAAAAAGCAAGAACAATGCTTCAGACTGTAAAGAAATTGTCTCAGAATGTTGGAAGTAAATCGCGCACAGTAACATCTCAACAAGAAGTATTCGAAACTAAAAGTCAAAAGTTACAGAGCTCACATATTCAATTGAATATATCTACAGCCCTTGCTACATCTAGTGAGCGTTCTCCGTGTGAAACCCCGATCGCCACTTCTAACATTACATCCATGCCCAAAGAAATCCCATTTGATTTAGAAACCAATCGAATTGGAGAAAAAGAAATGCAGGAAATGTCCGTTTTTAAAAATTATAAGCAAGGCGAACCAAGCAATAAATTGTACATAAAAAACCTCCAAAAGGATGTGGTAACAGAGGATTTAATTTTGTTGTACCGACAAATAATTCAAAATGACAATGTCCAATTGGACATTAAGGTTATGCAGCATGGTCGTATGAAAGGACAAGCTTTTGTTTCATTCAGTTCCGATGTTCTCAGTGCAACGGATTTGCGGAAAATAGTTCTGGAGGCACTGATTGCTAGCAATGGTTTAATTTTGAGACAAAAACCGATGGTGGTGTGCTTTGGAAAGCAAACTTAAAAGGTTATATATAAATAATGGATTTTGTAGCGTACATACATCTTTAGCATCGAGACATTTTTAAAATTCGCATTTGCATGTTCGTACAATTTATTATAATATACACTCCTCTTCCTTTTTTCAATTACAGGCAACTAGGTTTATTGGATACCATATATGTTGAAGGCGGTCAGGCACAAAACAATTCGTCTGCAAAGAGCAGCAAGTCAAAACTTTCACAACAAACATACGAATATGTAATTGCTGTTGACTTCGAAGCCACATGCTGGGAAAGTCAAGCTCCTCCAAGATGGAGAGAATCAGAAATTATTGGTAACATTTATAACTTAAACCAACACATTGAATTTATCCTCTAATTTAGAGTCCTTCTTCAATCTTTACAGAATTTCCTGCGGTATTGGTTAATTTAAAGACTGGTAAAATTGAGGCAGAGTTTCACAAATACATTATGCCCATAGAATCACCAAAACTTAGTGCTTACTGTACAGAGCTGACAGGTATTACCCAAAAAACTGTGGACAATGGCATTCCTCTGCAAACTGCATTAATGATGTTTCAGGAATGGCTGCGAAAGGAGTTGAGAGTGCGACATTTAACATTGCCGAAAATGTCCAAGGACAACAAAGCTGGAAATTGTGCGTTTGTAACATGGACAGATTGGGATTTCGGCATTTGCCTGAACAAAGAGTGCACAAGAAAGCGACTTAAGAAGCCGCCATATTTTAATCAGTGGATCGATTTGAGGGCCATATACAGAGAATGGTACAAATATAAACCGATTAATTTTTTGGATGCGCTAACACACGTCGGTCTCGAATTCGAGGGAAAACAGCATTCTGGCATCGATGATGCAAAGAACCTGTCAAAACTAACCTGCAAACTGGTAAATGATGGAGCTACGTTGGCCATAACAAAAGATTTGACACCGTTTCAACTGAATTTAAATTGTATTTTTTAAGAAGGCGTAAAACAGGAAAATCAAGTATAACTTAACTACTATCTAATCCATTTTTATATAAACTTATATGATGAAATTTGTAAGACTTACATATTTTATATGAAATTAATAAATCAAAGAAATTTTAAATTTCTCTAAATTAATATTATAGATATCCCAAATGAATGTGCTATATTTTACTTTATAATAATCTAAGAAACATTAAACGCATCTGGGGTTAGCAGAACACGTAGAGTTACAATAAAAAGTCTGATGCTATAGAAACATAAAAAAAGGAAATATATGTTTTTCTCCGCCTTAGCAGTAGAACTATGCTTTTGTAGAAAAATATGTCTAAACCATATACACATTTTGTACTCTTTGCATTTTTTAAGTAAATATCAATGACCTAAATTAATATATTTTAAATACGAAAATATTTGATAGAAAATAAATGAAATATTAATAAATCTTTTCGACTTGATCGTCGTCGCCATGAATCGGCGGCGATACAATAAAGTTGCGATAAAAAAAAATATTTTACTAAAACCAATGAATTTCGTATGCATATGTATATATTTATTTTTAAAAATTTTACAAAAATGAAACATAGACTGACAAATACTGTTTTGTATTTAGTAATAAAAAATAAATGAGCATTAGGGGATTTTTGGTAATCTTATTATGCGATTGGACAAATATGTTAATCGGCGATAAAACAACATATAACGAGAATGAAAAACAGTCTATTGAATCAATAACAACAGCTGTAAAAATATTTGATGAAAGTGGTTTGTAAATCATGATATTTGGTGTTTTCAACACCGTGCTAAATATAATTCTACTGTCTAAGAGAAATAAATTTAATTATAACGTTCGATGTCATATTTCTGCATGCTAAAAATTACACATAGGTGCTAGTTTTTTAGATTATTATTGTTGGAACTAGACTGTGCTTCACTTTCCAGCGATGTGGTGTTTAACGTAGAAGAAGTTGAACCCGTCGTGATCGATTGATCGTTATCGCCCTTATTAATTAATTGCTTTAATAATTTAATGCACATTTTAGAACCTTCCATTGCCTCATTAGAAATCTGAAAAGAAAATACAGACTTATGAGTTGAAGCTATAACGAAACAAACTGCATTTTACCATTGTAAAATTTAAAAATCCATGAGGCAATCCCTTCAAAATATCCAATGTAACTGGCCTATCCAATTTCTTTAACTTTTTGGCAAACATCACACAGTCGTCGAGGCAGGGGTCCATTTCTAACGTCTAAAAAAGAAAATAGTATTTAAAAGGGGTTCCAGGAACTGTTTGTTTTTAAAAATTTACGAGTATTTTAGTTGCCGGCATCTGCTGCAGCCATTCATCACTTGCGTAGTAAGGTGATAAAAATGGATCTTTTGGAATCTGAAAGGCAAACTCCGCACTGGGAGAGCGAGCAATTAATGCATCCATATTTCTTAAGTCTTCAATCGGTTTGTGAGAATTGCCATCGCGTTTTATATCGTACGATTGTGTGTAACGGTTGATTGTGCTCGATATGCTGTTAACGGCGTTATTCAACTTTGCCTGAATATCTAATGTTAGAACATCTTTACTGACATCGACCAGAAGATTTTCCTCAGAGTTTTCGCGGGCATTGTTCGCAGTTGCTTAGAATTCTCATTCTCTTTAGCCTCTACAGTTGATGAATCAACAATATATGTATCAAGGAAGTTATCTATATACTGCTGCGATTCAGATTTTTGATTCGCTGTCACTGGATGGTGTTCGATGGGCACTGAATCGTCTTCGAATGACACACAGGAACTATTGTCGCCATCTCCAGTGGACGGCAAATCTGTTCGTTCGACTGTCTGACTAAGATACGAGGCACTGGCGAATGTATTCTCCGAACTGTCTTCAGTCTCTTCCTGTGCCACTTCAATCCCACATTGGGTTGTGGCATCCATTTTGTCATTCTGAAATACAATTAGAGATTCGCGTAATAATTACAATCCACAGATATTTTGGGATTTACCTTTATTTGTTCCCATTTATGATTATCTGAGCTCTTCTGTGAAGAATTCCCTTCCGATATTGATTTACTATCCGGCTTGTCAAGGCTAAGCTTATAGTGTGGTTCTTCATCCGATGCTTTACGTATTTCTTTTATGAACTCTTCACTCTTCGAGTTTTCTGTTAGAATTTCGGGACTTGGCGCTGCATAAGCTCTTAGGCATCTCATCATAAAACCAAATGGTAATAAGGGGTCCATAAGGCATAGTAATCGAGCGGGACTGGGTACAAAATTAATAAGTGTCGGGCAGTATGCCAAAAATACACCATCAGGTATTCGTACTCCCTGTTGGATACATTTCAAGGCAAGAGCTATGCAGAGGTTGGCACCGGCGGAATCTCCAGCTAAAACAATTCGTTCAGCTGTAGTGCCAAGGTAACTGGAATTTTTCAGCATCCAACAATAGGCATAAAACACTTCTTCAATTGCCCGAGGAAAGGGAGCTTCAGGCGCCAAACTGTAGTCAATTGACAAAATCGGACAATCCAACGCCACAGCCCAATCCCGCAGATACAACTCATGAGATTTAGAGGATTGAGCAACGAACCCACCTCCGTGACAGTGAAAAAGAATCGATGGGCTGCGGGCAGGTAATTTACGCCAACCTCGGGTAGGACCCAGTCCCATCATGCCCTCACGGCGTTGTGAACTGAGCAACCGTGCTTGAATTACAAGTCCTGGACCCAAATGACTGGATGGCACGGGAATGTCCAGCAATTCCTCGCCTTCACTTTCAGCACTAGCTTCATTTGAGTTGTGCACCTTTGGCAACTGCAGGGGTTCAGATGGAATCTCTATAACTTGATTGACCTTTATGGAACTGCCAACCAAACTGGGTATTTTATGCATTAACTCCGACTCGGCCAAAAACCAAAATGATTTACAAAAATCAATTTTAGCATTTTGAGAGAGATTTACTATCCTCCTCGCCCTTAGCTCCGGGTTTAACAAATATTTGCCACTGGTCCATACGCTGCGTGTCGTCTTCAAAAGGGGACCGTCCACGTCTTGAGCATAAAATGTTTCCGAAAATCCGGCCATACTTATTGAAATAAATCGCAGGACACCCCGTATGGAATCGCCATACTGGAATCCCATACAACGTCCATAAAAACAATACTGATTTATTGTGTCGCCCATCTCGAACAACTCCTCCGCCGAATGCTGTCCGTATGCAAAGAGGTCTGCACTGTCCTTCGACCACTCGTGTAAAATTAACAGATATTTGAGACAGGAACACAGGGACGAGAGCAGCTGGGAACACGCCTCTACTTCTTTAACATATGCTTTCTTACGGAAGAACATGGTAGACCTGGCCGCAGTCAAGTTCTTACAAATGGCCAGCCCGTATTCTATACACGAATCGACAACAGAAACGAAACTGCGGTAGCCATTGCCAGGAGTATTTTCATCGAAATCATATGTGTTTGCGAACGATTGCACTTGCCTCACCAGATTATCTGCCATAATAATAAAGTCCTGCCACGCAACAGAGGCCGCGTGCAGTCGTTGTCCCTTTTCCGTAAAATCATCTTTGAAAAACACAGCATGTTCGTAACAAGCCATCAACAGATCACGATATTTCTCCTGCATTTCCGGAGGCGGAGATGGCTCTGGCAAAACGTCAGTGACAACAGTTTGAGTCGAACACGAAGGTTTCTCAATTCTGCTGTTAGCATCGTTGTCACTTGATAATTTGGATGTGTCCTGGACCGAATTCTTGATTTGCTCTGACTCATTTACATAGCTTTGGCTGTGGTTGGGGTTGTGGTTTTCGTTTTTATTTTCAGATGCTGAAGCATCTTTTTTAAAACATTGCATACTATATTTGGTATAATTGTCGTGGTGAAATCGAAAGGTCTTGAATAATAGAAGTGCACAGATACAAATTAAACAAACCAAGACAAAGGCCCGCAGCTTCGAAACTTACCCTAATAACAAACTTGCATCGGGATCGTGTTGCGCCACTCACGAATGAACGAAGAAAAACTCTATGAAACGCCACTTTCACTTTAGTCACTTTTGTTGCGAGTCTTTAACCGAATAAACAGAGAGCAGACATGCTACGGAACGGATAGTGGTGGATGGTCGAGAATGACCGATAAAAACCAGACCGAAACAAAATTGACGTTAGCCCGTCAGATTTACGAATGATGTGTGGTGCATAACGCCGAATAGTGCGTTGTTTAGAAAATGACATGAGAGACATGACATGAGAGCTGGGTTATTTCAGAGAAAGGAACGTTCCAAGGTAACCTCATCGGCAAAACTGACGGTACAATTAACTGTCAAAAATGTTGTATGATTTTAAACAAATCCTTGGAAATCCGCATCCCTCAAATAACAATTCATGTATAATGCCGACATTCCATTCTATATTTGGTAAAACACATACATACGTTTTTTATTGGTTCGACACTAATATATATTACTAATGTGTTTCCTATCATGATTCATATACACCATTAAAACCCATTAGTTCCATAAAATTGCAATCTCATATTTCGATTATCCTTGCCGAGTAAAATTACATAAAATAACGCGTAGCCCATTTGGTAAGTTACTTCATGATATTGGTGATTTCAATTGAAAAGTAACCTGAATGTTTACAGGAAAGTCGCTTTTCTGCAAAATTATAGGTAATCTTATTTATCAAGAATTTTACCACACTTATAGAAGTCCCAAAAAAACAAACAGGTAAGGTACCTTAATTTATATATATACATACTTTTTCGGTAGTTTTTTTTCCAAGACCAACTGAACCAATTTTGAACATTTGTAAATCCAACGTCCAAACCGATAAATGGAGTGACGATTTGATCCATCGTAATACCAAAATTAGAGCTAGCCCATGGGCCCGAAATTAAATATAGGATAGGCATATTTTTAGTACGTTATTGGAATATTCATGGTTAGTTTGTATATTGTAATGTACACTTCTTGTCTGTATTCATTCAGTTTATACGTTAATATGAATCAAATAAATGTAATGAAATTACTTACTACTGTAACTTCTTGGATTGGCTGGATGTAACTCCTTTGTTTTCTGGCTGGTGTTTGGGCTTTATAATAATAAATTACAATTTATTCAATTGAATTTGCAAAACAAAATTTTAAATCCACTTTAATTTGACGACGCGTACTTTTGATAAAAAAGTACAGTTCTTTCGGATTACAATGCCGGCGTTTTGAAACGCGTCGGCATCGCGAAATTTAAAAAATAGATCCCAAGACAAAACTGATAATGCAGAAGCAAAGTAAATCCTGATTAAAGATAGGGACACGTAGGTCGAAATTCGGCGTGGAATCAGAGGAATCAAAACAAAACTGATTACATTCAAAAAATGTTGCCACACTGTCAATTCAAATATCATTAGGTATTTTAGTCCGGGATTTTTATTTTTACTTTTTTATATTTTCATTAATATTTTATCCATAATATCTACGCGACTGGGTTTCCATCAGACCCCTCAAGTTTAACTATTCAAATAAAACAATTAAAATAAAACGCATGGAGCAAATTTCATTTATAAAACGATCTAATAGAATACATTTCATAGAATGTAACATCATATAAACTATAAACTATTCCTAAAACTAGGCACATCACTTATATTACATTATTCTATTGTGTGTTAAAACAAACTGTCATCAGCTTTCCGTTTTCGCTTTTTAAGTTTCTGCTTAACATCTGCCGCCTTTCCTCTCATAACACTAGCTTTTAACTTCTTGGCAGACTTCTTACGTTCTTGCATAGCCAATTTCCGCTTAGCTGCTCGAACAGGATCGTGAATTTTTTCTTGTGATAATAGTTTCTTGCGGTCGGCTCGTCGAATCATTAGTTTCATCTGAGCATTTGCACGCAACTTATCATAAACGTCCGAACCTATGCGCTTCCTTAGACGACTACCAACACGCAAAGCCACTTGCCTTAAATCGGGATCCACATTTTGATCTTCCTCGGACATTTCTCGTACTAATGCTGCGAGAATACTGGGTCCAAGTTGTTCCAATTGATCGACACTCAGAAGGGTTATAAGGCCTTCTAGTAGTGTGAATAACGATGTACGCTACAAAAAAAAGCAACATTTTATATTATTTTCAGTAAATATGTACGAGAGAAATAGACACATACCATATTGGTGCTGTGGGATGCTTTTACAACTTCCTTATTGATCAAAAATCGAATTTGCCTTAAAAGCCAGTAGAGGTTGATTTTGGCGACTGACTCCTTGCTATCCTCTTCGTTGGCATCGTCACTTTCGTTTTGCCTCTTAACACTGAATGGAACATCTTTAAGCATTGTTGCAACATAAAGGAATATTTTAACGATTTCATCAATCATTAACTGAGATGTTTCGCCAGGCATCATTTGAGCGCACAAATCCAAAATCAGCGACTTTATATCATATTGAGGATTTAGGTAGATGAAATCCAAGCTAATTGATTTTTTTGCACTATCCTCCTCCACGTCGGTTTGTGACAATTTCCGACCAATATAATCAAAATCATATTGACTAAGAATGTGACCAATGATTTTGGCGGCATTGCATCGTACCCAATTATGATCATGTGCCAAAAGGCGCTGCGACTCGTAGGCAAGTTCATCTACTGTATTGGTCAGTTCATTTGTCTTCAACAGTTCTGATGAACAATATTCGAATATTTTCAACAAGCAATACTGCACTTGAATGAGTTCGTGATCTAGTGAGCGTTGTTTTCGTTCCATCTCCTCCTCTTCCTCCTGGAAGCCTTCATCGTGCAACACTTCGTTAACTTCTTTTTCCAGAGCTTTGTTTTCTACGAACTCCTTTGGTTTCTTCGACTAAAATAGCAAGATGAACATATATATGAGAATTTGACACTGTTTCAGAATGTCAATATTTTATCAACTTACTTTACATTTCTTCTTTTTGGGAATGCCACTGGCGTCAGCTCCTTCAGGTAGTGAGTCCGCGTGCGGCGCCCTTACAAAGCGTCCAACATTAGACGAGCTGTCCTGATTTAATCTTGCAACCAATGTTGGCAGCAACACTTTGAGGCGAGGAGCAAATGATTGCTTCTCTGAATTCAAAAATCTGGAGCACAATGCCGCGCCCATTTCACGAACAGAAGGCTTATTATCGACATTGAAGAACAGCAATGTCAAGTCGAACAAATGTTGCCGACTCGCTTTCTCTAATCTTCCTATCAAAATTTCAATGCAATTGGCCACTGCCTTGCGACATTCAGGATCCTCGTCGTTAACAAGCCTGGTGCCGAGGGAAATATACAAAAATTCCGCTTTCTTTGTTAATATGACCAGCGGGAATTTTTTAATTATGGTACAGATGAATTCTATGGCAGATAACCGACCAGCGGACAAAGAATAACACAACTGCACCGAGAAGAATTTCACGATGTGGTCAACCTTTTTGTTAAGAGGATATTCCATGACGTAAGTGGTCAGCAGGTTTCTAGCCTCATCACGCACATAATCAGATGGCGATACAACACACATCTCGCCGATTTTCTTCATGATATCATGAATAGCTTTACACTCTACTTTACGGTTCAACAGAGCCTTAAGCAGATTAAAAGTCATAGCCTGATTTTCGCCGTCGTGCAGGTCTTGCTCTATGTACAGAATCAATTCATCAACCTGCTCTTCGGTTAGGTCATAATAGGTGCACTTCCTCACCAATGCCACTATGGCTTTAAACGCAGATTTTATCAACTGGAAGTTATCCTCTTGCTTAGTAGCACCGAAAGTAGAGAAATTCTTTAGTATTTCGAACATTCTCTCCACCACAGATCGTATGTACTCGGGCTCTTCCATGGCTTTTAGTTCATATTCTTCCACCCACAGCGTGGCAAAACACTTCAGAGCAAACGTTGTCACTCTAATATGGGTGCTCTTTAGGGAATCTCGGAGCAATGGCAGAATGGGATTGAGGAAAGGCTGATAGTCAACATTCTGCAACTTTTTACGTTTTAAGACAATATGCAACATTTCCAAACCAAACTCAATGAGGATATGCGCATTTGCCTGGGCATTTGTCTTGATTTTTTTGTTAAGTGCTCCCGATCTCTGTGGAGGGGGCTGTATTATGAAGCAATCTGGACGAGCTCGACGCATTTTTTCCTTCTCCTGTTCCGATAAAACTCTTCTTTGTGTACCGGGCAAAAGGTCAGTAATACTTTCGGATATTGTGCCATATATAAAGATCAATAAGCTTTCGCGTGATATATGCACATTTTCCACTAAACCATTAACGATCTTCGCAAAACATTCCTGAATCTTCAAGGTCAACTTGCGAGATTTCGATCGGGCTAGGTGATCTTTAAAGGGCATTAATAAGTCCAGCAGACAATTCTCCTGGATATTCCGTGCGATTATGTGTAGTACGAGGTAACTTTTTGCGCTTGGCTTTGCCTCAGGAGTGTGGGAAGTTAATTTGTCAACTTCTTTCTCTGCACTGATATCGCCGAAAATATCGTTAAGGGCCACTTCCAATAAATTGTGGAGGCACGCTTCGATATCGCCCGATTGGACGACATCTCGCAGAGCATCGAGAACACCGTGTATTGTAACTGACAGAACATGTACTTGGAAGCCTCTAGTTAGGAGATTCTGCAAGTGGTTTACCAGCATGGAAAGGTACGACGATCCAAGACACAGCATTATCTTCTTTAATATGTCACGAGTGAGCATCCTCACGGATTTCAGGGGAGACCTTAAGAAGGTACAAACCTTCATAAATACACCTAGAATTAAAAACAGGTATATGATTAAGTATTTACAAGAGGTTGGCACTATGTTGACTAACCTGGTAAGCTAGAGTCCATCAATTCTTTTGGCAGCTTCTGCATAAGCTTAACTAACGCCAACGCTATTGGGACCCTAAGAATTTCTTCTTCTTCTCGCTCAATACTTAACCTTTTGCGATTCACTTTATGCTTGTTGTCGTACGAAGATTGTTCGGTAATGGACCGATTAAGTGTTGGTATCAATATGGTGGTAATGGTAGTCAGTACTTTTTTGGAAGCGGCGCACGACAATACCAATGGATGCTTCATGCACGATTCACTCTTCGTAGTAACGTCATTCAACGTGGTGGGTTCTTCTTCTGTGAGGTTAGTGTCGTTTTCCAGTTCCTCCTCTAAATTATCCTCCTCATTCGATTTGGACATCACAACGCCTTCGTCGTCATCATCGTCTGCTTTTCCATCCTTGTCTTCACTGAGTTGTTTGGCTTGAGGTGCTGCTTTTTTCGATTCGGGTTCTAAATAGACGTCAGTAGAATTCTTTATATCTGCTTTAAGCTTTTCCATGGTTTCAGCATCACTCTGAGACAATGTCAGATCAAAATGGAACGCATCCAATATCCTCACAACAATGCGCACGCACTGCTTCTGGTAGTCGTGGGACGAACGCATTTTCATCAAATAATAGCGTAGAATTGTGTAATAGTGCTGCCAGGGCAACAACTGACATACAACTCCTACAGTTTCTATCGCTGCATCAATGAGTGTATGTTTGCTTGCATGCTGTTCTTGCAAAAGATATCGAGAGGCTAGCGGTAGTATAATTAGCGTGAGAGTCCTAACACAAGGTGGCCTAGACAGGGTGGCTGCCATAGCATTGAATTTGAGCAAAGCTCTGCCATGACGATGCGACTGCAAGTGTATCATGTTCTCGAAGAAATCCACCTCAAGGTCTAGTTTATCTCCCAGTGCATTTAAATCCTTAAGTATTTCGTGTGAGTCGGGACATTCTCTTACCATCTCACCCAATAAACGGATGCCTTCGTTTCGGACATTTTCATTCGAATCTTTGATAATGCGTCTAATTAGGTTTATAAATATATCTCCAACTAAATATCTTGTTTGTGGCTTGTCGTCGGCATATTTCTTCGTTAGATGGGGCACCAAAAGCCTCAAATGTTCACTGGCATTGTCACGCAAACCCATATCTTTGTCGTGTCGGAGAAAGTATATGCAATTGAAAATTACCAAAACGCCCATGTCTATATCTAAGCCTTCGGGTGACTCAATCTTTTCTTTAAGTTCCTTGAGGGCATCCAGACGTTTCTCGTAGTCCGGTTGTTCTACCCACCGTTTATCCCAGGCGTTGAGGAGTATCATAATACGAGCAGTAAACTTCAAATTTTTGGTGGTCTGAGAATTCGGATTCAGTTTATGTTTTATTTTTGCAATATCGGCTATTAAATCACACAACTGCTTGCGAGCAGACACTTCCGAGACTTGTTCGAAAAGAGGAGCTATCTTCCGCACGTACATTTCCGGATGCTGGAGCCGTTTGATAAGATTTGACAAGGTGGTTATGACTTGCGTTACCACTTCGGCATTCGACTGGGTTTGGGTTTTGGATATGAGTATAGGCAACAACAGTTCCAGTAAATTGTCGCAAATCTCAGGTTCCTCGACATGTTTAGTTAACATTGACAATATATTTAAGTCGCGTTTATCCAAAGACTGTTTCGATCCCTTGGTGGAGAAGTTCATCTTCAATCTTTGCAATAGCTCGGGAATGTATGGCTTTATAAGGGCCAACCCATCGTCTGAAAACTCTAATTCACTTTCCGATGCCACCAACAATCTCTCAATTAGACTCATTATAGATTTTCGCACCAATGCTTTCGATTTTTCATTCAAAAGCAATAGGATAATGAAATGAAAGATGTTTTCCTCCGACCCATCCATCTTCTGGCTGAGGAAAGCGAAGTGTTTTGGTTTCTCACCCCACAAAAGCAATAACTTCAACAAGGGTGTGGGTGCATGTATGCATTCCGATGGCAACTTCTCCAAAGAAGGATAGACGAAAACTTTTGTTATGCACGCGACTAAAGCATTGTTCCACTCAAATTCTTCAATGTGTTCAAAGAAGTTAACAAGGCTTTCCAAAGCATTTTGCTTCAAATTCCTAAAAACTACGGGCATTTTCGGGTGCATTAACGACGCATTTAATTCTAGTACTTGGTTGCAAACCGCACCGATGAAAACAAGAAGTTTAAGCATGTACAAATGGAACTTTTCCTGCATAATGCCACCGAACTCTTTGCGAATAAGTTCAAGCAGATTAACCACGCTCTGAAGTTTTTTGGGGGACCACACTGCGGAAATGTTAAAGTTTTCCTTAACAATGTCGGGTATGCGCTCGATAGACGTGGCTTCGTCAGTGTACTGTGTATATAAACCGAATGCCATTTGCAAGAACCATTCAATTTCGGCAAGACTGCACTGACCCAAAAAGCGGAGAATGATCGATTTTCTTTGCTGGGGACTTAGGCCCTTTTGCGAACCTTTCGTAATCATTTTGCCGTACAGCAATCTCAAAAGTATATGCATGAATTGCTCACGATGCTCCTCTGACACAGTGTCCACTTTGAAATTGAGCAACTCATCTTTGAACTTTTTTTCATCGAGTATATTGTAGAGCAGGTCTTTGTACGGCATGAGTGACTTGGGCTTGTATGTCATGACACAGTCCAGGGCACACTTTTGTAATTGGTTGTTGGAGCCTTTCAATAGCTGCATGTATAATTGCCACAGTTCTGTTTCTTTGTATAGTGCGCGGGGATTCTGTTGAACAGCCAAAACCGATAACTTGCACTGCAAGGTCTGTAATATAAACTTGACTCGCACATTGTCTTGACTACCCATTTTGGCCACCCTCTTATATTTGACCTTCTTTTCCTCCTCAACATCATCCTCGTCCAAGTCGAGATCACACTTTTTGTTGGACGTAGCATTCAGGTCCCAGCAATTCTCTTTCTTCTCCAAATGCTGCTTGTATTCCTCTTCGATGAATTTCAAAAAGATTGCCACAAGTTCTCGGTTTTTGATTTCAAACAATTTGCCGTACTGTGGCAGATGTTGCCACAACAGAATGCGATAATTCAATATCTGTTGTTGAGTCAGTTGTCGATCCCTGGTCAGGGGTAATATTGTATTCATCGTGTTGGAATTCCAAATTTCCTCAACGACCTCATTTTCTTGGTTAAAATGTTCCTTGGTATAGTCGATACTGTCCAATGTCTTCTGCATTTTATCCTGGTAAATAGTCCAGAAAACAGCCGGCTCAACTTCTTTGGCATAATCTTCTAAGAGTTTCAGTGTTGGTTCCCAGACAAATTTGAAATTGTGATACAGCATACCCAAGAGAAACCGTATACAATCTTCTTTGTATATGGAATCTGTGAATGACTTAAAGAGTTCCGATTGTGTCTCCAATTTCTGTATAAGCAAGAGCTGTTCCCTGTAGTTATGAATATTGGGTTCTATTAATTCGGTCTGGTAAAATATGTGATACGGAGATTTTGCTTCCTGACCCTTGAACAGAACACTCAAGGAATGTGCAGCCAATAGTCGAAACTCGTGATCATGATGTTGCAAAATATTTGACAACTGTGGTACTAGACTGCTTTCGTTGTTAAACATTTTCGGGTTCCTATATATTAATTGGTTCAGGCAACCCAATACGTTTTTGTACTGTAAATTTGTCAACAAAATCTCTGTCAATGGCTTCAAAATTTCTTTCGGTGGGGATAAGTTCAATTGGCATAAGATCTCAATTAGAAGGGCCAGTGTGTTGAGCGTTCTCCGACTGTCTTCAGTTGTGACTGTAGTTTGTAACTCCTTGACTGTAGATTTCATCAATGCTTCTAATGACTTTTGTATATTTTCAGTTCTCAAGCCTTTTATGTGAGGTGCCACAATCAGCAATAATATATTTTGTTCAAAATCTTTACTGTTAGCTCCGACAAGTCGTTGCAAACTACCTTCAATGCGACTAATGCTTTGCAATGAATTTACTTTTATATCCATAGGCTTCCATTGTTGCAATGCGCAGCTGTTAAAATTCAGTGGTTGTTTAATGGTTATGACCCTTGCCATTAGTTCTATGGCTTGTTGGTCAAAATTGCTTTCGAAATACTGTACCAGAGAAGGCAGAATGAGTATATCAAATTGGACATGCAAGGCCATTGACAGGACAAAGTCATCATAAATTTGCCGGTGTTTTATGGTTAAAGCCTTTTTCAATAAGCGACTCGTATCCAATTGGGTGACCAAGGAAGAACCTGATAATAGTATTGAACTTATGACTTTTGTAGTTAACTGCAAAATGTCTTCGGATTGATTTTCCTGCATTCCTCTGTCGACGATTTTCAAGACTGTTCCCACAATGACATCCATTTCGGATATGAAGCGTCCTTCTTTGTATTCGATTACCTGCAGAGCGATTTTCATCAGAAATTGCAATTTCGTGACCACCAATTGTGTGTCTGCGACCGCACACAGTTTGGTCCAGAACAATGACATTTGAGACGGTGCAATAAATTTCATTAATTGCATCACAGCGTGTTCGACAATATCGTGCAGTAAGTTCAACTGTTGTTGTTTGACATCTTTTTTCTCGACCAAGGCTTCAAATATAAACTGCAGAAAATCACCGGCTATGGAATGGAACTGTCCCTTTACACCTCGCATTATTTCGAAAAGTAAACGGCCACAGCCCTGAATGCTTTCGATTTGCTCACGGGACACTGTGGACAGAACAAATTCTAAAAATTTGCCATAATCCTTTACATCACGGGCAATAAAGGAGAAACATTCCACGGCAAAATTCGTAACATGTTCTTCGTAACGCCTTTCGTCTAATAACGGTAATATACTGTGGAAGACAATGCCAATATTTCGCTTTAAATGTGGCTTCAGAGTTTTGAAAAGGTAGGCCAGGCATACTAAGGTCCATTCTAGTTGCTCTGCGTCTTGTGTATTGAGCAAACAAATCAGTCTGTCCAACACTCTCTGGAAATATGGGTAGAACTCCTCTCGTAAATCGCGTGCCAATACGTAGAGAAGTTCCAAGAGTGGTTGCAGGGACAAATTTGTGGCACATGACAATTTTTCCAATAGAGTGTCAATGACAAAGTCCTTCTGGTGCAGTAACTGTGGCAGTGTTACAACTTTCAGGACCTTCCGTGAAAACTGTGAGAACTCTGTTGTTAAATTCAGGACCATCCATTTGCGCAGAGTTTGATGGAAATAGGTTTCGTTTTCTTCGTTCAACTCCTCATTTTCGTGACCAATGTGGTACAACGCTAGACGCCTCAAGTCGATTTCATTCACACGTTCGGCAAAACTTTTAAACTAAGAAGTAGAGTGTCCGATTTGAAAATTATAGTTATATATCATTGTGTATCATTTGCTTACCCGAAAAGTGTTTGAGTTTTTGGTTTTTTCATTAAATTCCGTCATTGTTTTTCTTTTTTATTTTGTTTTAATTTTGAAATCAAACGCACGTGCAACCCAACATTTTTTTTCGACTGAATGTTGATTTCGGACTTGTATCGAACTAGTTACCACGTATTCATGAGTAATCATGAAACCCGGTTACCGTCTTCGATATTGCCATGTTTGGAATAAAATAGACTTCAAATTCCTTTTAATTATTATAATTATTATAATTCGTAAGAGGAAAAGACGATTCTGTAGTAGCGTCATATATAACTGATAAATGGATGCTAATTTATTTTAACTGCATTCAATATGTATATCGAATGTATTGTATAGAATTTTGTCATTTGTATTAAAATCCAGATGAATACGGTTAGACATATAGAATACCTCAACGTGTATTCTCCCATGTCCCCTTTCGTAACAATATGTAAATACCTGTCTGTTCTCTTTTAGTGGAGTGCCCGTTATCGAGCATTTTGTTCTTTCTCCCCTATTTGTATGAATTCGAGCAAAGTAGATGGCAGTTCTTGCTTTATAACTGCTGTCAGTTGAATTGTCATATTTAGAAATAACAGTCCTGAAGGGAAAACCAAGATTGCTTGTTGGACCAGTATTAATAATTTATTTAAATAAATCTAATTAACAAAGGTGATGTTAATTGAGAAAAAAAACTAATATATCAGCAAATTGAAATATAAAAATACGGCAAGGTGGAACGTTTTTAATTTCGGTTTCAGTCGGTGAAAAAGCGCGCACGACATAGAAAAGAAGGCGTCACTAACATAATCACGGAAGATCGGGAGAAATAAATAAATTTATTTTGCAAGCAAATGACAAAAATGAGACCGACAGAAGTGAAATTAAGCAATCCTCCAGAAGATTGGATATCGTCAGTCAGATTTGGACCAAAATCAAATCAGTACTTAATTGCTTCCTCATGGGACGGAACAGTTCGATTCTACGATGTGAACGCTGTTAGACAAGTAATTAAATTTGTGCAGGATGCTCCAGTGTTGGATGCAACTTTCATGGTTAATATTTCATTTGACATCCCGTTTGAATTGAATAACTAATTAACATTTGATTTTAGGATGTGGTGCATGTTGTGAGTGGTTCATTGGACAACCAGCTCCGACTTTATGATGTCAATACTCATACCGAAAATGTTGTGGGAAGCCATGATGAGCCTATAAGATGCGTTGAATATGCAGAGTCTGTAAATGGCATTTTAACCGGCAGTTGGGATAAAACTCTCAAATTGTGGGATATGCGTGAGAAGCGTTGTGTGGGCACATACGAACAATGCAATGGAAAAGTATACTCCATGTCTGTTAATGATGAGAAAATTGTCGTGGCAACCTCCGAACGTAAAGTATTAATTTGGGATTTGCGCAAAATGGAAGAATACATGATGAAAAGAGAATCATCTCTCAAATATCAAACACGTTGTATACGTCTCTTCCCCAATAAGGAGGGATATGTCATGTCCTCAATTGAGGGTCGAGTAGCTGTGGAGTATTTGGATCCTGACATCGAAGTTCAAAAGCGTAAGTTTGCCTTCAAATGCCATCGCAATAAACAGGACTCAGTTGAGCGGATATACCCGGTAAACGCCATTAGTTTTCACAATGTTTATAACACATTTGCTACTGGTGGCTCCGATGGATTTGTCAATATATGGGATGGATTTAATAAGAAACGATTGTGCCAGTTTCACGAATACGATACCTCGATTTCATCTCTCAACTTCAGTCACGACGGCAGTACATTGGCTATCGCTTGTTCCTATATGGATGAATTGGAAGTGCCTCCAACTAATGTTCCGAATCCGGTGATATATGTACGATATGTAACAGATCAAGAGACAAAACAAAAGTAAATCAAAAACCATATTTATTATATTAAGTTTTAACATTAAAGGTAAAAATATATGTTACAATTATGTACACATTTGCTTATATTGAAATAATCAGTTTATTAAGAATTATTATAGAAAAGTGTACATGAATTGGAATGGAAGGAACTGGAAGTATAGAAAATATCTAAAATTCAATTGAAATAAGTGTATAATACAGGCGAGTACGCTTATAACGAACACCGGTTATAACTAACTTTCGGATTTTGCATAGTCTATTTTTTAATAATGAACTTTTTTATAACGAAATTTTATTGGACACAAATTCGTTTCAAAGGATATAGAATTATTTGAAGGGTTCATATTTTTAATGAATATAATTTGCATATGTGAATTGAAGAAATATGCAAAATATGCTAGGTCGATATGCAATAAATATGCAAAATATATGCATAAAATATGCAAAATATATGCTAAAATATGCAAAATATGCACGGCATGCTAAGTCGATGTGCAATAAATATGGAAAAATATACAAAATATATGCAAACATATGCAAAATATACAAAAAAATATGCAATATATAATTGTATGCAAAAAATATGAAAAATATAGGCAAAAATTGCAAAATATGTGTAAATATAGCAACATATTTCACATATGCAATCATTTTTCAAAAAAAAAAAAAAAAAATCAGTGTAGCTTTCGAATTTGTGTGCTTTCTTTATTTTTAACCTATAGAAATCTAATTATGTATGTATATTTTGCATATTTTTGACATGACCCCAAATATCGATCAATTAAAGCATGAAACGCCTAAATACAAAATTTGAGTCCAATCGGATAAAGCATAAAAAATTGCAAAAATCCGGGTTCTACTTTATAACGAACTTTATTTACAATATAATTATTTATTGAACTTTTTTATAACGAACATTTTATTCGGTCCCAACTTTCGCTATAACAGTACTTTTCTGTATTTAATGAATATAAATGATAGTGAATTGAGAGAAAAATTTACTCAGTGAGAATTTTCGTGATTACGTTCTATAGTGAAATATAAAAAAATCAAATTTTCGAGCATTAATTTGAATATTTTCATTATTTTAGAAATATTAAGCAATTACTAAAATTCACCTATTAAATATAGTTTGTACATATGACATGTTGTTAGAAATTATTACTGTTCGACAACATCCGATATTTTTATCGGATAGAGCCGGACAAAGACTTGCCGCAATTAAACTCGCCTAATATAAATTGGGACTAAAACGGCATATACATTAAATTTCGATATTTTATCTTGCCAAATTCTTAAAGCGGTGAATTGATGTCCAGAATAAGACTGATAAAGTTCAAAAATTTTACTTCATTTTATTTGTATGATTTTCTTTATTTCAAGTTAGATGTAAGCATGGTATATTTAAACAAGGTGGGGTGGGTATCTTTTGTCAACAAAGATAAATTACACCTCTACGTTATGGCCTATAATGCCAGAATAAATACGAACAAATGCAACAAGTCATGTTCATTCTAAATATTTTTAACTTTTTGAATGTCAGGTTTTATTTTCAAAGTCGAATTGAAAAAATATGATTTAGATATTGCTTCATCCATAAATCATTAAATTCTTCTTACCAATGTTGTAAAATTAATCTATAAACAAATGGATTTATAGCCATGGATACATGCATTTCAATGAATTTTACCCAAACACGCAATCAGAGATGGCCTGTCAGAAACAGTGACGTAAATGACATACATTTCCGACGTATAATACATACGTCAGAAACGTCGGAAACCTACCCAAATCACTTAGGTTTTTGACAAAATAGCAATTTCCATTAATCAATCTGGATATTACGCATGCTTAGCTCAAATTAATATAAAATTTCAAAATTTTCTTCTCAAAAAAATTTAGTAATTTTTACCAGTTCTTGCAAGGTATAGTGAGATATATGTAAAAATAATATGTATTCTTGAAAATAACTGTATATGCTGATAATATTGAAATAAATGACGTTTACTACATTTATTACATTTTATACAGGTATATGACGTTTTCGACGTTTACACCTTTTTGACAGTCGAAAACCAAAAAATTCGTCACACGGACCATCCCTGCACGCAATACTTATGAAAATATAAAGTTCATAATTTCTCTTTTTATTGAAAATAGAATTTCATGAACAATAAAAACTTTTTTCGACATATAAATCTTATACATTTTTTAGTCGAAAAATTTGAACGAGTAAAAATGGTAACCACGAATGTCAATTTCAGATATTAAATTGTTAGTAGTTTTTGTTTTAAAACTTACATTATACATAATATTTTACGTTGTCCATATACCATATATTTAGCATTGCTTAACAAAAATACAGGAACACAACATATGTAAATGACCCTTACGCTGTTGGAGCGCTTTTCGTTTCGATGTCAACAACATGTTTGCTGGCGGCGTCGCATAGTTACCTTGCACTTGGTGTTTAGTATTTTTGTGCCAAAACTTATAAATCATAGGAGGCTGAGACTGATTTTAGTTTGTTGTGTTTGTTTCATTTTGGAAACCGAATTATTGGATTGAACACTTATTTGGTGTTGGTCAGATTTGAAGCAATGGTGAGAAAAACAATGGATATTTTCTTCCAAAATAGTAGCTGGTTGTGAAGTTTTTGATTTTATGGTGGACATTTGCTGTGGAACATGTTAATATTTTGCTGAAATAGAACATAAAAGTCCTAAAACTATAATTCATATTTATTTATTTAACCATAGGGTCCACGGTCGCGCAGTCGTTCCCGTTCGTATTCCCCAGACGATAGACGAGGACGCCGGTAAGAAATATGGAATGCTTTGCTCCAGAGTAGTTTTTAATGTTATTTTATTTTTGTAGACGTTCCTACAGTCGCGACAGATATTCGCCTCCAGTTTCCAAGAGGCGTCATCCGCCATCTCCACCTCCTTTACCACCGGGAAGACGTCGTAGTTATTCTAGGTAAGTTTTGGTGTTTGCTAAACATTGAGGTTATGTGAAAATTTATTTCATATTAGATTTGAAGTTGTATCCCATTTGGGCTTTGTTTACATACACATTGTAGATTCTGTATTTTCGAGATATATTTCAACAACAACACTCAAATAATTTGCAAACGAAATGAAATAGAAGTTCAAAATGTTTACACCAAATGTAAAAGACTAATGAATGTGATATTTTAATGTAATTTTTCTTTTTAAAAGATCTGAATCTCCACGATATAACCGCCGCAATTATAGTAGTCATGGTAACAGGTCAAAACCACCAAGGTCTCGTTCTCGCTCTCCATACGACAGAAACGATCGCAATAGGGTAAGTTTCAATAAACTGAACTTCCAAAATCACAGTAATTAATATATATTTATACAATACTAGGAAAAACCTTCTCCATGTCGCTGTCTAGGAGTTTTTGGTCTGAGTGTCCATACCACACAACAACAAATCAGAGAGATATTTGGTAAATTTGGACCTATTGAAGCAATACAAGTTGTAGTTGACAGACAGGTAAGACAGTGTTTTTCTCTACGAAACTATTGATGCCCCATCATGATGCTCATTGTATACTCAAGATACAGCTTTGTAGCACATCGCGGGGCTATAATAATGTTCAGCAATAATGAGCTTTGATTCAAGAATATTATGAGCAAAGCTAAAGGCTTGTCTGTTACATATAAATTATATGACACTAAGAGAGTTATACTTATTGAAATGTCCTTACATCTTTAGACTCGCCGTTCCCGTGGTTTTTGCTTCATTTATTACAAATATTTAGCAGATGCCGAAGTTGCTAGAGACCAGTGCTGTGGTCTAGAAGTTGATGGCAGACGTATACGAGTCGCCTATTCCATTACAGAGAGACCTCATACTCCAACCCCGGGTGTTTATAGGGGACGTTCTACAAGGTATATATCCAATATCCATTTTCATTCGTTATTGCTGCAGAGCTAAAAGTTTTCAATTACAGAAGCCTATCCCAGCGTAATCGTTCTCAACGTCGGCACTCTCCATCACCTTACAGTCGAAGTCACCGTGATCGCTACGAACGAAGTCGTAGTCGTTCCCATTCACCCCGTATGTATACTCCGCGAATATTCCATATTGATGTAACCATGATCTTATTTTTAATGTTATTCCAGGTCGCCATCGCTATTGATTTACTTGCTCGGCCCTAATTTTGTCGTCTATATACCGTACCAAAATACTACAGAATATTTGTTTTCAATTCATCCTATTCTCATCGAGTTATCAAATATGTGGTTTTGTTTCCAGGATAACTTTTTAGCTATACCAATGGATGTTGTGTTATTTTAAGAAACATGTCAGGAACTTACTTTGCAATTATTCATTTTCGAAATAACGCAATATCGAAAAGTATCAATTCTAGATATTACGTGTGCTACATTTCCCTTATCCATTTATTTTAAGATAGTTAATTTTTACTGAATGGAATGTATGCATTTCCATTATTATTTGTTTTGTTCGCAATTTGTCGCCAACAATAATTATAATTTCATTAGATATAAGGATTTTTTGTAAAGAAAAAGACTACAATAAAATTTGAATTAAAGCAAGTGTGATGGCATTATGACGATGGGTTCTGCTGGATCTGTCGCGATGTTTTATACGCGATTTCCAATGTATTTTGAATAATATGCATGTCGTTTTCTATGCTACGTGCCCAATTCTCAACGTCGCCGAGCTCCTTCAAAGCGGAACTGAAGTTGTCTATTAGTTGCAGCCACTGTTGTGTTTGCTTGGCGAAATTAGTAGCACCAACGTGCAGCTGTTTTGCTTCTGCGTCGAGTTTCTTTTGGTTTAGATAGGCCTGGGCGACTCTATACCAAAGTAAATGTGAAAATTAACCCTTGTAAGGGAATATTATTTCTGTATTAACGTACCCAACATTCAGGTGTTCCACAAGAGCCTTAGTCAATTCATTTGATGCCTCAATGGCTTCCTTCCTCTTGATTTCTGGAATAACATACATTTTGTTTTAACAAACACTTTAGTTGTTTCATGAAGTAACATATTAGCTTTATCATATTATTACCTTGTTCCTGCTTCCGTTTGGCCTGTTTAGCCTGATGTTCTTTTGCCATTGAACTTAACATGATTGCCTATAAATAAGAGTGGAGTTTAATGTTTTTGATAACTTATTAAAACGGCCGAAAGGGTATATGGAAAATGAGAGTCTAAACGCAACCATAGAGTCTAGAGTCAGCGACAGTCATTTGCCGTGTGTTTCTTGTAGGCAACGGGAAATCGCGACGGCTGACGTTCGCGTCTAGCGGCATGACGCTAGAATAGATTTTATTCATTTTTGCTCAGCGTCATACTCAAAATTTCTCACTTGCTCTCAATTGAGTTGCCATATTTTAGGTAAAATCAACAGTGCTGCCAAATTTTAATGATAATTTATATCAAAACATATGGCAGTACTGTTAAAAAAACAAATATTTTCAAAGATTGTGGATGTTTTTTAATGAATTATTAATAAAATGGAAGAAAAATATTTTTTTCAATAATTTTATCCAAATTCCTTGACATTATTGTTTATTAAATAATAAATTGATTTTGGTTTGCACAACGTAAAATTTTCTGTCAGAAAATGAAAACAAATAATTGACATTTTGTGCCGCTAACGCTAACTCTTTCGTTTGGTTTTCACGCCGGCGAAAAAGTATGACGCTGACTCGTGACTCTCTGGTTGCGTTTAGACTCTGACGCAAATTTTAGGATTACAAAGTCGGCAATTTCAAATTGATCGACGTGGAACGAGAAGAAAACAAAAACTAAAAAACGAGGCAGAATCAAAACAAAGATGTTTACATCAAAGGGACCTATAAGTCGAAAATATGACAAACACTTTCGGAACGAAAACAGCTGTAGTATAGTAGGGTTATATAATGCGACATTTTACTCTTGGTCTGATCCCGTACTGCAAGAATCTACTACTTTTTACTACGTTAACGGATTTTCCTTTATGATATCGAAGAAAATAGTAAAATTTAGTAGATTCTTGCAGTACGGGAACATGCATGTAGCATGCATGGTACAATTATTCAAGGTAGGCCACATGGTATAGTAATAAAAGTAACAGCAAGTGTTGTTGTACAACAAACGATACAACAACCACATGGCGTTTCCTCGACAGAGGGGTCTACGATCCGAAACGACCCGAGTCTTACTCGGCCAACGTCTGTCACCTCAGCCCATTGTGTAAAAGCAATAGGGCTGCTACAACAACAACAACAACCACATGGAAATTTGTTTTTGTAAGTTATACTAGTGTCAACGTCATTTGACAGAAAAATGTAAACAAACAAATAAATTATATTTATTTTGAAAATGAAATATTTTCGAATCCTCAAAATAAAATTTGAAAAACATGAATGAAAATCTATCAAATGTATATTTCTATCGCTTTTCTATAATTGATCTATTGCCACTTATATGTGTAACACATATGAAAATGCAGGGAATTGCGAGTTATTCAATGAAGAAAGATTTGCTTCCTCAAATTTCCCAACAGGCAGATTGAGTAAAATGTATACGGGAGGACATTTAATAAAGAACAATTTCGAATTGTATGCGTTCCCAATTTTCCTGTTGGGTGATTTTAAAAAACGTAATTTGTCAAATTCATATTGACACTAGTATTACGTTGGACTTGCTGTTACCTTTTATAATTGTGCCATAGCAACTTGTAAGTTACAAATTTGTTATGCCAATGTAATATATTTGAAAATCAATTTGTTTGAAGATGAATTTTACAACATTTGTAAAGGAAATCTATCTTAGAAATGTATTTTCTCCTTTTTAACCAATGTCTGTTCCTTTACTGCAGAAATCTACTACTTTTTACTACGATAACAAATTTTACTTTATGATATCGAAGAAAATAGTAAAATATAGTAGATTCTTGTAGTACAGGAACAGACCAAAAAGCTATCCTACCTTGTATAATTGTACAGTATTTTTCGGTTAATTGTACATCATAATTTGGACAATTTTTTTCAATTAACCGAGGAACCAATTATCCGAACCCGCTTAATTGAATAGTTTGTTCAATTACAGTAATTCAACGTATAATTGGAACTACTAATGATTTAAAAAATCCAATGTCAAATACAAATTACGCGTTCTCGCAGTTTTTCCTTAGCAATAAACATATGTTTTGAATTAGTAGAGATGCCACCTAGTCGTTTTCACAAATTACGTCAAATATGTATGTAAAAAAATGGCAGATTATTTTTCAATTATTATTATGCAATTAACCGGTGAAAAGTAAAAGGAAATTTATTCTTGATGACATGAATTTTGAACCAATTAAGCGGGAAAATCAATTAACAGGGTTTAATTATCCGAGAAAATGTACATGTATTTTCCTATGAAATAATTTTTGCCCCATCATGTCGTTCAATTAATCTCTCTCTTCATCCAGGAAAATAATTTGCATATCAACTGTTTCTCAAATTTGCTGTGAAACGAGCTCCTTGTATTTGCACGAAAGTGTGCATTCCAATTTGATCAGCTGAGAGCCACCGATACCGATGATGTTGAGAACGACGTCACAAATGCTGGAGAAATATTGCGTGCTGTAAGTCGGGGAATACAATTACTGCCATTACATCTGATTATCGGCAATTGCGATCGACATCCTGTTTATGTCCAATTTATGTGGCTGTACGGCAATAATGACGGCGGCCCGCTTTACCCGGACTCCGAGGACGCTTTAGAATTTATGTTCGATATTCCCCACCTGTTAGCCAATTTAACAATTAACTTTTTCGATCAGAAGCAGACTTGGTAAACAAATTGACCTCGTTAAACCTGATGTAATAGATATAATTTTCAAATCAGAAGAAATAGCTGTTCTCAATTACAGAAAACTATATTCGAACACAGATATTACTGTTCATATGCTTACAAATACAAACCGATGGAGAGTTGAGGCGCTTTTTTACAAAAATATCCTAGAAGTATTGAACAGTGGCTTGGAAATATTTTCGGAATTTAAACCAAGCCACTTCAGCACTTCAGTCTTCACTATCAGCGTTGTAAATTTGTCAGTTACTCGTAACTAGACCTTGGACTAGAGTCGGTTGCTTACCAGTATCCATTCAAAGTATATGTGCCGATACCAATAAGTGTACAACAAGATTTTTTGATGCTCGGATGGATATAGATATTTTTTCAGGAATTGGATTTTTTAATCTTATTTTGAAACGTTTCCTGAAGACGAAAGCGAGGCGCAGCATAATTATCAATGCAAAGGATCAACTGATGGATAATCTGCACCGCAAGTAGTTGCCACAACGGAAAAGGAAAAATAAAGCCTTATGGAATACATTGTCATGCTAAATGAGCTAGCTAACATGCCAATTTACAAGCATTACGCTAAAAATAAAGGAAGCTTATTTTTATTTAATGTATATGTTTCTTTATTTTTTTAATAGAATTATATAGAATTGTTGTTGTAACTAGTATTGCTTTAATGCATCGAATTACGTTCGCTTTTTTTTTGGAATGATAATTGCACTAATTCTGTCTTCGATGAGTTTTGTGCTAATAATCTTGCATTGGCTAATTGTGCTATATTTATTTTGTTTATTAGTGTTTCGATTAATATTGTTTTTACCACAAACATCTATAAACTGGTACTTTTGGTAAGACAAGAAAAGTGTTGAATAATTATTTTAACAGTACCTGTAGATGTATGTATATTATGATATCTAGGGATTATTACATATATGTATATATTAATATAGAAAAAAAACATTGGAAAGTTTTACATATAAAATACACAACTATTCATTATGAAGGCATTTAATGTTTGAGAGTATATGCTATTGTATTATTAATACCATATATGTAATTTGTTATTTTTCTTTTTTTATATATAAGTTTACATATTAGAATAGATGATTACATCAATAATAAAAAAAGTCTTTAACAATTCATTTGATTTACATGTTTACAATTGTTGTTGCATTGCTAGCAATATTTCTAAATATATTATCCATAAAATTATTACTAATTTAACACCAATTGGTGCGTTCAACAAATATGTCCCCTGTCTGAAAAATTACAATTTTTCTTAACATTTTGTTCCATATACAATTTACTAAATCATAATGTCGCATCGACTAATGGCTTTGTTGGGGCCCGACACCAGCGGCGCCATAAAGGAAACTTGATTGTCGTATTACCGACACAGTTGCTGCGGCTACACCAGCTTGCGGAGGTGGTGGTGGGGCTGGCGCTCTATGTTTTTTGAATGGTTGATAACCGGCGGGCTGCATTGGTTTAGCTGGCTTCGTCACTGAACTTGGAGTTGTGTTTGATGTTGCTAATGGATTTGTGTTATTGTTATCAGTGGTTATATTATTATTGTTGTTAGTCGTAGTAACAGCTGCAAAATAGGATCCGTTATTATAATAAATGCTGGTAGGGTTTCTTTTTTTCGGAAATCCTACAATAACAAGTGTTTTTAACAATTCATATTCAGGTTGATCATAATATGCCATGCTATAAATGAGTGACAAAATAAAAACGTGTGTTTAGAAATAAAATGAAATTAAATTGAACAATTTACAAAACTGTTATTAAATTTGGGATACCTTGCTGATGGCGTTTAAAAATTATTCCAAAATTATATGAAAACCAATTTTGTCCCCATACTTCTATATAATGTAGCAGTTAGATAACGACCATTTTCACTTGACTTATTAAAAAAGTTTAATGGTAAACTCCTAAATAATTTTCGATTTATTATATATTAAACAAATTAGGTACTGCCATACAATATACTTGGAATGCAAAATTCAGGACTATGAATTCACACATTTGCCTAATGACCCAAATAATGTTTAGATAATATATATATATATATTGCAATATGTTTTCCCTACATCTTCCATGTGACACAAACAAAAGATATATATAAAAAAATATACAAAACAAAAAAAGAAAAACAAATGATTATATATGTGGTTATTCCTTTTATTTGATATTTTATTTCACACATATGTAATAGATAATACAAGAGATGTTTGTATGTTGAAATATGTATGTGTAAATGTGACTTGCGGTTTTACTAAAATTTGTAATCATAATTCAAACGAAAACAATATTTTATAAATGTAGATAAAAAAAAATCATGAGTTGCATGCGTTCTATATCATATGTATATAACATTATAGGTATGTAAGTAAGTAATATTAGAATAAGAAACGACAGATTGTTCTGGATTATACAATCAATATTTGCAAGTGTCTAACTAACATATGTACGACTACATTTTTGAGTTGACTTTTTCAATACCGAACGCAATATTAAATGACAACATCTTTCAAGATCCAGTGTTAAAAATGTATGTGATCTAAAAACAACAAACACATAAAATCCAATATAAAGCTATAATTCAATATTTGCCAAGGGTTTTGACTTCAACAGGCTTTTGTTTTTTGCATATTTCATAAAAATATAAAATTAATTTAATGATTAGATAACATTAAAAATAAAATTAAATATATATATATATATATGTAAAAATAATAAAAAAAGTTCAATATACAAAATATTACAGTGGGAAGGATGGTGGTGTATAATGTTTTGTTTTGCATCAAAATCGCTTAAAATAATACATTTGCGGATAGACATATAGTTTTTGTTTTTGTTTGTAAAGAAAAGTTCATTACATTTTCGAATATCTCTCACGTGCAGAGTTCTTTCTAAGAAGATGCTGTAAACAATTGTAGTTCAAATAAAATAAAAACAAAGAATAATTTTAAAACTTAAGTAGTACTTAATAAGAATAAACATAACATTTAAAAGGAAAATGAAATGCATTCCGATTTCATTTCACCATCTTCAAATAGTTGCCCTGTCTATAATTTATATACGGGCAAATGAAGAGCAGTGCTTTCATTGCATGTTACATACCATTTGTTGCCTTCACGGTTCGACGAGGATACACTTTATGAATATTTACAAATGGTGGAGGCTTGGGAAATTCGGTTACATTGTGGAACCGTTTACCGAATTTTGATTCCAAATCGGTAACCAAACGACTGACAGCGTTTGCACTACCAAATGCGGGAGCTGTGTTGACGCCAGCTGGTGGTGTTAGTGGAGCATTGGCTCGTATGGAAGAATGGCGTTGAGGTGGTACTGGTGGAGCTCCACTCGACTACAAATAAAAAGGTAAAAAAAAATTATCACTTGAAATAAAATTGAGTTCACTTAATTTTTTTATTTGGAAACAATTATAAATATTCTAATTATCAACAATAGAGTTTGGCCTTCTTACGAAAATTTGTTGGACAAATGCCAAGGATATTTTTATGTTTATGTGAAAAAAAAATAAAGTTACCCGACTTCTGTAATTAATCATAATTTCTTCGAGGTTTTGCAGAGAATGCTGCACTTGTAAAGTGTATTTGTTATTTTTTCCACTCGATACGTTGTACTTAAACGATTAGTTTATTTTTATTTAATCCAAGTGTTTCCAGTAAATTTCACGCATTTCTTTTTCTGTAACGATTTTTCCATAACAATCGTAGTATTGATGACCGTGTTTCGAATGCAGTCAAATGCTACACAAACCGTGATGTGAGAGTATGTATCCCTTTGTTGGTGTCACACACGTAGAACGAGCAACAACTTTCCGTCGCAAATAGTGATGGAAAAGAAGAGAATTGAGCAATAAGCACGAGCAGAATGAATACAAACGGTATAACAAAAAACATTACTATGAGAGTGAGAACCACCGTATAATGAAGGAGGGTAAACGTTTACGGTCACAATACTGTCTATGTTGAGGAGGGTTCGTTGTATATCTCTTAGGCAACAATGTGTAGAGAATTGTTGTCTACTTTTAGGGGTTGAAGAAAAAAATACAAAATTTGAATGAATGAATTTTTGCTCTCCCCAATTCTAATTAAATTTGTATTCCTGCTGCTAAAGAGGATTTTGGGAACATGAGCAGTGTGCATGGATGCTGTAGACATATTGGCGCCATAACGAGCATGCATGAACGAATACATACATACATACTCAAATGTCACACAAGAACGTAAATATAGCAAATGTCAATTCGATACTCTCGACACTATTAAATAAGACCCATATGCATAAACTTTTGAATTTTCCTATGTACATTCATTGACAATTCACAGTTCACAATCAAATATTTGAATATTTGTTTTTGTTTACTTACATTTATATTACCAGTGCTCGATTGCCTTTGAGGTGGTGGCGGCGCTGGACATGTTCTGTGCGGTGGTAATGGAGGTGCATTAATTGGACCTCCATTCAATATAATTGGCTTCGGAGATTTACTACTAAGTGGACTACTCGAAGACTTCGCTGGGGGAGACATGGCGGTTGTAGATGGTGGAGGGGGAGGAGGCGGCGTTGAATTTGCACCAGTTCGAAATTGATCACGCAAAGCTGATACGCTGTGCGTAGATGAAGAATTAGACGGTGGTTGAGTAGAGGGCGGCGATGAGTTCACACTTGTGGCTGATGAAATAAGCGCTGTATTGATGGCAGCAATAGGTGCAGCAGAAGAAGCCGAATTAGAACTTGAATTGGTACTCGAGTAAATATTAAGGTTCGAATTCGATGTACTGCGTGCTGGTGTAGGAGGTGGTGGCGGCTTAACGCTAGGGGGTTTGGGCGGAGCCACAGTGGGTCGACCTATTAAAATATCATCAAACAGTTAGTTCCACATTCGACAAACATTTTAAACATAATTATTATTTCATACCAATGGGTGGTTGAGGTGCCGATCGTAATCCAGAATTAATGGCTTCATGCGACTGCGCCAACGGTGTGCGCATAGTTCCGAATTGTTGTTGTGTGGGAAATACTGGACCTCCACCCGAAGTTGTTATCGGTGGTGACCTATACAAATTAATAGAATTAAAATAAAATAATTAATTTGGCATAAGCATATGTGAAATGTATTTTGCCATTTGAAGCCTTTTTAAACCAATCTCAAATATTATGTTCCCAAAACGTAATTTGTTTAAGCAAGAAGCAAGCAGATTTAAAGATGAATAAATGTTTATTATAGCAGTGTTAAAAGATGTGAATATTGTTTTGAAAAAGTGTGAGCTATATATGAATATGAGCCTTTATTTTGTCAAGCTTTGTTAATAATGAAGAATGGAAGGGAAGCTATTTTCTTTGTTTTGTACCTGGGTGATTTCATACTATGATGACGTGCCACGGCTGGTCTTTGACCAACTAATTGCTGCAGACCTGGTGGTTTTGGGGCAAAGTTCGGTTTGCCATGATTGGGTTTCACAGAAGGCAGCAATGGTGATTTGGTTGGCGGAGATGGCGATGCAGATGCCGATGGACTGCTGTTGGCAGTGCCATTAGCACCACCATTGCCGCCTGTATTGTTGCTAAACAAAGTCGACTTGTTTGGTGCTAGATTACGCAATGATCCTGATGTTGCCGATGATGCTACCAATGACGATGAACTATTTGTGTGGCTGTTGTTGTTGTTGTTTGAATAGTTTGTTGTGGTATTTAGGGATGATGTTTTTGTATTATTGTCATTGTTGTTATTATTATTTACAAATACATTATTATTCCCTAAAGTCAGGCTGTGGAAACCAAAAACAAAATAAATTGGTGTAAAAAATTGTACAAAATAAATAAAAATTATAACAAAAAATATACACAAGAGAGTAAAATGTAACAAATTTATAAACACAAACATAAATAACATGTGGTGTAGACGACGGTGCAAAATCACCATAAGCACAGACACAATACATATGTACTCCGATCAAAAATCAATCCATATAGTCACCGCTAAATTATATATTGGTCTAGAATTGAGAGCAACAGTGTTCAAGTCTTTTCAAAATAAATATCGAGAAATTTACCACAATAAAGAACCCAAATGATACATAAGTTTAAAATAAACATAACAACGGATAAAGGAAAAAACGTGCAATGGCTGTCCAACTAGGCCCTTATATATAAATATATTAATGATAATAACAATATAATACAATTCCCCTGTATTGCCAAGACATTTTAATATTTTATTGTCAAACTCACTTTAGATTAGCGGCTTTACTCCTCACACTGCCTCCCGTGTTAATCTGTTTCATCAATTTACTACTTATTTCTGATGTGGTTGGAATAGATTGCTTCGATGTATCGTTGTTGGATGAAATTGTTGAACGTGTGGCATTGGTTTTGCTTTTTTCCAAAATTGAATCGGAAGTACTCTGAATTGAGAAGAGGTAAATTGTTTTGTTAAAAAAGTCTAAATTAATATAAAAATATCGAGGAACTTACCGTTGATAAATTTTTTGGTGGCTGTGTTGGTGGTTGAGGCGGCGGTCCGCGATTTGTTTTAAAGTTTGCCTCTGTGGCATTGATATGTGGTGTAGATCCTGATGTCTGTTGTTGTTGCTGTTTTTGACGTTTAAGGGTCAAATGTTTTGTTAATTCAGCATTGAAATCCATGGGACCACTATTTGACACCACATTTGATGTTGGTGCTGATGATGGGGGGCTATTGCTGCGACCATTAACCGTAGATGAAGATGTTGCAGGGGTTGCTAACAGTAAAATAAAAAAATATATAGATTGTCAATTGTTTTGGCACGAACAACTATTCAACACGAAGTATACCTCTATTACCATTAACTGGCTTTAGTTTTGGCATCGACGTCATGCCTTCAAACAAACCACCCAATTTTGGCCCACCATTGCCAATACTGCTGTTGTTGTTGTTGCTGCTGGCTCCACCAATAACCTGTCGCTTAGGGGATCCAGCATTTGGCGATGTATTACCGCATACCTTTCCAGATAATGCGGGTCCACTTTTATCAACCGTAACGGTTGGCCTTAGTGCTTTGCCTTTCTGTATGGACTGTAATAAAGCAGATCGAGCTTGATCACCACCACCGCCTCCTAACTTTAACCCACCCATAGCTGGTGGAGGAGGTGGCCCTGGTGGCGGCGGTGGTCCTGGCGGCGGAGGTATAGCCATCTGTAAATAAAAAAATCATAAGGTTAATAAAATGTCTTCGTAACTCAATTAGTAAGAGTCTACTTGTTTGACATTGATTCTCCTAACAAAGAGACGCATTTTAATGGAAACTTAAGGATTTTTTACAGATAAAAAAGGGTTCCATCTGTTTGATTGGTTTATTTGTACCAAACTGATTTCATCTTTGTTTGTGTCAATATTATTCGTAACAGAAATTTATGAAGACCAGTCCATCAAATATATTATTTTTGGTTTTCTATCAGCTAGAGGAACCCACGCTTTTATTTTTTTGGAAATGTATTGTAAAAATTACTATATGTGTGTGTGTGTGTGTGTGTGCGATGCACAGTGTTCAGAAGCCCTGCAGTAAATTTATGTGAAAACATTAAAACGTTTTAATTTCAATGTTATTTCACACGTTCTTGAGCTGATTGGACATTTGTACAGTATCATGTCACAATTTAAACGTGAGAATTGGTGAAATTCTTTGACCTATTTTGTTGTTTACAAATTAACCACGATAAAATTGTTGGATGTTTGGTAAATTGTTGCTTATAATAAATGTTACAAATACGTTTTCCAAATGTTATTTAATTAAAAGCAATCACGAAATATGTAGCCTTTTTTAAAAAAAATTAAAATATATTTAAGACAATGTTGAATACTCTAATTCCGAGCACTGTCGTCGGTTATGGATGAAGTACACACACACAATAACGCAAATATACATATATATTATATCCATCCTACGGCTTTTTTAAAGAACTCTTGATGGTCATTACGGCCAGAAAGAAACAAATATAGGTAACTTAATGAAATTGATACGATAAACCTTTCTATATAAAATATCATTCATTGGCAGTCATTTATTACATTTTGTTAAATAACATACAAATAGATAGCTTATATAGCTTTATCATTTTTTTGTTATTTTGCAAAGAAATTGTGAAGGCTTTTGTGCGGTGGACAAACAGTTGCGATTCCATTTATATGAGCTATGTAAGCGAGCACGTGTGTATTTGCGATTAAAAACTGTGTACAGTGTGTCGAATTAATGATGGTATAGTATTCGAACAATGTATGGTGTAGAAACATACTTTATAAAACGCATCAAACCTACGGAGTGCGTTATCATAAATGTTATAATACGAGGTTTAAATTTTCTTTACAAAATTCGATATTCGACTAAGTTAGTTTCCGTAATATACTATAAAGTTGAGTTAGAAAATCGAAAGATCTTAATTATAAAAATCTTTTACTACAACATGATATACAAAAAACCAATTATATTTTTTTTTGAATGCCAAACGACAATTTTTTTGTAACATTGAATGCGGAAACTAACCTTTTTTACTGACAAAGAATAAAATGAAAATCAAGCGACAAAGGCAAGCTTAAAACGTTCAGAAATTTATGCATAAAATCTTGAATAATCTTTAATTAAGATTCTAAACACGTTGTAAAGCCTGATGACTGAGGCCGGTCTATATGAGGCATATTTCTGTTGCTGTTTTGTATTTTTTCCAATATGTACTTTGTTTATGGGCAAAACAACAACAGCGACAATAAATAAATAAATAATTAAAAAAAAAAAACACTAGAATAAAATAAATTGAAATGACAAAACAAATCACAAAAAATTAATGAATCATTGACGCTGAGCAATATCGCGTTAAATGAAGAAATCAAAATATAATTGCATTCTTTCTTTTCGATTAGAAAGAATGAAAGCAAAAACAAATCGAATCAAAACAATTACCTTTCAAAGATAAACAACAATGACGATATTTTGGCTTTCTATGCAGCTCTCAAACAAACAATAAAAATGTATCACCACACACACAGCGCGCTTCACTTCAAATTCAATAGTCCGTTTATTTTTTTCTTTATTTTCCTCTGAGTTTTTAGTTTTTTTCTTCACTTGCACAAACTTTCTACTTCTTGTGTTTTCTTCCAATTGAATAGATCTGGCTTAATTAAAACATTAAATTGCATTAATAAGCGAAGCAAATGCAAATCTTTAATGAAAATTTTGCTTAAAATTCAAACACGCACGTTCGTTTACAACACATTCCACTTCGATAACAACAAAAAACCTACTAGCTGGCTGACTAGCAATTGGCTCTGTTTGCTGTTTGCATTGCAAAGCGATATTGGAAATAATGTGTCGAACACACACACACCCACTGATAGTTAGTTTTTCAATAATACCAATTGAGTTGCGCATGCGACGATTACAAACAAACTCTCTCAGGAGTTCACAAAAAGACGCAAAGAGACGATGACTCTACTAAACGATCGAAATAAATTGTGTACTACTGCACTGGGGGAGAGTGACTGACAGAGAGTGGGGAGCCAAATCAGTATCACAAAACCATCAAATCAAGTATAAACATGAGTCATTAATAACAAAGCGGGAGAGAAAAAACCCCACACTACAGATGACTTTGGGGGGAGAGAGACTCTATAACATCCATAAGTGCAAGTGTAAATAATCATTTTGTTTGTATGTGGCCGATTTATACACCATCACTACTCGTATAATTCACGTAATGGATGGCGGCATTGTGGAGGTCGCGTATTGCATTTTTGATGCATTAATTTCCATACAACAGGCAACCGCCGTCAACGGCAAAGGAGACAGCGCAATTGTTTATTACTATGGTTACCCAGTGTGATTTGGCGATGCTAGTACAAATCTTATTCCCATCTAGTAGGTAGTGACTGTAGATCGTTTTCCTTGTAATAGAGTGGTGAGATGGCAAGGGGGCCTGAGTGCAGTTGACGTCATTAAACGACAACGACAATCATGGTTTTTTTATTGATTGCTGAATTAGTAATGCACAGGTATATGATAAATCATCATACAATTGTAAATGTAATTCATGATCAATTTTCTACAAGAAAGGGCGAAAAGAGGTCATATTTGAACATATTAAATCACTATGACTAAGTATGGATGATCGATTTGAGAGGCATTTTATGTGGGGAAGCCATCATATTGATATCTCTATAGATATATATTTACCTGAAATCGTATATTATGTTTTATAAAAATTTATTCCGTAAATTAGTAGGGATAGGATAAAAGTCGGACGGGCCGTATATGGGATACCTAGTATATTCGGAAATGCATGACGACATGATATCCCGTACTACAATATGGTACAGGGTATATACATATATAGTATCTTTATTGACGACCGCAGTGCATCATGTAGTAATTTGAAATTTGTAATAGATAAAATAAGAAAATTTATTAAATTCCCAGAAAAAGTTTTCTAAGTGTTTTTTACTACTATGACTATATTGATTTCTTATCTTCTGTATCTAATTCATAAAAAGATGTGTCTTATAAAGGCTTCCGCTTTATACGAATGAAATTCTATAAGATTCATAGTCGTTTATTAAGAGCGCAATTAGTTCTAAGCCATAAACACATGCAAAAAATTACAACCACCATAAAATTGTGGTGATGCTGTAGGTAATTTAATATTTCTGTGTTATTTTTTTAGATTCCGCCATATTCATGATTACTATTAGCAAAATCATCATTGTTGTTAGCTATTACTGTCGGCACCTAGTCACCATCTGTTGACACACATGAGCGCCGTTTACACCTAGAATATTTAAATTTGCCACAAGCCTATATGCATTACACAAAGTGGAAAGTACGTCCCTGTCAGATAAATATCCACATATAGGGATAGATAATCTACTCATATACTTTTGAGGTGTAATTGTAGATTCTAAGTAATAGCAAACATCATTATTGTATACAATACACTTACTGCCTCATTTCCACACTCTTTGGGTAATGAAGAATATCTGTTTATCAGCTAGAAAATATTGTCCAGTTATAATGTAAGTAGGTGACTCGGCATTTGTTTATAGAACGAAACACCCTAATACACTTTTATTGGTATTCTGCACACATTCAATTAAATGCAAAATTTAAACATACTTTATTTTAACCAAATATATCCAGTAGCTAACGATTACGTATTATATCGGTCAATAGCATTTCGGCTTCACAAGCATATACATGAACTATTATTAACTAAACTTCCATACAAAATGTTTTGTTGTTTTCGATATACATAATTACAAAAACAACAAACGTTTTTCGCCTCATCATAGCGCACAAATTCATTAGTTTTGTAAATAAAACAAGCCCTTGTTTTGAATGGGCGTCGCCAACACAACTTTTGGATTTGTTTCGTCGTTTCTACTCTCTTCAAGTTAATAGAAACGGCCGTATTGCGAACAGAAAAAAAAACGTAAATTAATTGATTTGCAAAATTTTATTTTTTGTCATTAAATAACATATTTTAGCATGATTCATTCCGATTGTATTTTTACTGCAAACACACACCAATTTGTATCATCGCTTATCGTAATTTGGATTGAAGGTGTACTTATATTCAAGTAGAATAAATATCAAAACAATACCAACAGACAGACAGAAAGAAAATTAAAAATATTCAATGGTTGGAATTATTTTTATTTCGAATAATATGAATGAAAATTAATACATTAGTTAGTTGATATTACGTTGTAGTAAGAAAACTATTTTTGAAAAACTGCAATTATTTTAATAGAATTTTGTTTTTATTTTATATATTATTTTGGATATAATCGATCGATCGAATTAGACACAACGACAAATACATTGTAACCATAGCTAATGATGATTAGCACTGTAGACAATCATTAAAAAAAACCGACAATCAACATATAGGAAGGGTCATGAACTAAAATGACACACCTTATTAATGGACATAATTGAAAACAGGCAGCTATTTATTTAATGTATTGACCAAGGTGGAGTTTTTTTTTTGTCAACGGAAAATCAATTAATAAGCTATGAAATCATTGTAATGAATAAACCCAAAATACATTCGCAGTAAGAACAATTGGCGGGTAATGGCATATTGTCAGTCAAGTCAAGGTATGACGCACATTCCGTAGAGTATGGCGTTACATGCTCCATTTATTTTCCCACCAAATTACAACAAATTTAAACACAAAAAGCAGTTATAAAAGTAAAGCAAAAAATAATAAGAAATGAAAACTGATTCATATCTAAATGCAATCACAGTTGTAACGCCAGCTTGAGGCATAACCGTAAGCCCAAGTATGAACGAGTAAGTACAAAGAAAACTGTGACTCATAACTGTTTTTTTTTTGTCGTTGTCTTTTATTTGTTTAATATTCTGTTGTAATAAAGCTCACGTTCAACAATGAGAGAAACATATGTTGCATACATCATCCTCATCATTGGCCAGAGGAATCATCAATGTTGTCATAATTGTCAACATTGTTCTGCATGTTAACTGTGCAAAAATATGGCGGTTGTTCTACTCTGTATGCAAATTCATTAAAATTTAATTGTGTTTTATATGTTATTTTTTTTTTAAATTACATTTGAAATTAAATAGATGATAAGACTTATTCCTATCGTTTTTTAAATAAATGTTGTATGTATGTATACAGAGATGTATATATTTCAAATTTTACCGGCTATTTTAAAGCTATTTCTTAACATTTGTGGTTAGTGTGTAGTTATACAGGCTAAACCATTGGAATATACCAAACTGTGACTCACTGATTTAAGACATCGTCACCATTAATAATCTATAAATATACATTCATATTTATTATACACTGGAAAATAAACAAAATTCAAAATCTAATCTGATAGTGATATGATATACTAATGCTGATTGTTAGCATACCAATGTAAATGGCTTTTTTGAATTTAGTGACATTAAACCCAAGCAGATACTAAAAGTATATCCTAGGATGATAATTTATAATATTTAAGCTTCCTTTAACCATTTTCACATCTTTAAAAAGTTCATATCTTTACTTGTAATAACGGTCATATGTTTGAAATTTCTTCTTCGAAGACTTGGATTCCGAAAGCACAAAGTCTGGATACTGTTCCGAATATCAGTTACCCTTTGTTAAACCAGTATTTGGTTTAAGTGTATCTAGGGGTTAGTGGCCGACCCTCTTGTTCAAATGTTTAACTCAACTAGAAATGCAAATATTTCTTTGTTTTTTCTATATTTCTTTCTTTGTCATTAAAATTATATAGGCAGCTCTACAAAAATAGCTAGTCTTAAGTTCTGCAAATGTATTTGTTGATAGCGTTTGATTATATTTTTATACACTTTTTGCATTATTCACCTTTGTTGGCGTGGTAGTTTACTGGTATCTTATCCAATGAGTTTTAGGTCCCAGCAGTTTGTATTTTATAAAATTATATACAAGCTCTTTTTCAAAGAAGATAAGATAGCTGCAAATTGATTAGAAGCGATATCTATGTGACTGAGTGGATGGGTAGTAGGCACCAGATACAATTTCGTTGTTTGTGAAAAAAGGAAAATCCCTTGTTGAATGACATTTGAGGAAATATATCCTACTTATTACATTTTGAAATTCACTACAGTCAAATAGTTGGAAAACGAACAGTATATAACCTCCTACTAAGATAATAGACAATCGGTATAATCTCCAGCCACATCTAAAACAACATGAAGATGAATATATTTATATTCGCAATGAGCACATGGTTGTTTGTATGTATGGCCGGCCGATGTTGCTGTTTTTGTTCATTTGTTTCCATCCGTTTGTAAAATATGAAGATCAACTGAAATTCATACCAAATTGGAGGTTTGTGTGGTGTGGATATGCAAATTACGAACTCAATTTGTAGCGATGTAGAAATAAAAATGAAAAAAAAATAATATTTTTTTTTATTTGTATCTTCATGAAGTTGCTCAGAATATCACATGAGGCGTTTAATTGTAAATGACTGAGTCACTTAAAATCAACAAGAGTAATTATGTTAACTGATATAAGGGACTACTAAATAATTCTAACGTGAATGGAGAAAATAGATCAACAATGCAAATTAATGATGAAGTGGTTTTGTAAAAAAAGAAATGGCTTTCAACTGAAATATAATTGGACTTGATTTTCGTCATCATGATTATTCCCATAGTGAGTGGTATGTGGCATGTGTGCCGTTAGTTATGAATATCGAAAAACCTATCCCAACCAGCAGTGGAGGTATAATTGTACAATTGGTGCTCTGTGCGGAAAACACGACATTGAAATTTTTTCATTCATAGAAACATTTTTTCGTATGTGAATTTACGCAAAATTATTCCCGCATATAGTCTACCCCAACCAATGAATACACGATTATAGACAATGTGTGTGCGTTTGTGTGTGAATATGTAATTATTTATAGTTTTCCTTTCTTTGCTTTATGTTGAGGTTGTTGAATGTATGGCATTAGCATAGGTCGGCGACAGTGGAAAGCATAAACTAATCGGTGCATTTTCTTCATGTACCTTTGTTTAACCTCCTTGTTGTTGTGTTTTCACGGAACAGATGGGTGATGACACCGAAAACAATAACAAACACCCCATGCAGAGTCAATCATATTGCCGTGATGTGGCCCCTTCTAGACCAAAGTAAACAAACTTAATTTGGGTCATTTCAAAGAGTAAAAAGACCAACAACACACATATCCCCCACCAACAACCGGCACTGCTTCCAAACCTCTGTTTACAATTTGTAGAATCGTCGTCAACGTAAAAATCAAAAACATTTCGATGTCAATGAATTCTGAAATAAGATTAAATGGGAATTGGAAAAGATTGCCATTGTTATGTGTATTTTGTAGGAAATGTGATATTTCCTAGTTTGTTACATATGCATAAACGTTGAAAGATTGCTGATTTGCTAGTTGGCGGGGGTGAAAATCTAACGAAGATATAATAATATTATTATGTTTTATCAAGTATATTATTAGGTACTGCTCGGGGTGCTACGGAAAATATCCGATCTATCGTACAAAATATATATGGTTAATACCTTGCAGATATACTATATTTATCTGGGTGGTTCTAGAGCAGAGCTGCTCAAGAGTCCAAAAAATATATAACTGTCTAAGAGTAAATAAAGATCCACCGTATGAAACGACAAAGGAAAAAAGAAGGCAAGGAATAAGTTTCAAATCAGGGCAACTAGTTCGCATGGTTGAGCAGCCATCTTTAGACAAGATATAAAAATAGAATATTGACAAGAAACATAATTTTGAACATGGATATTCCCCTATAAAGCTGTAAGTAATGCTGTGATGATGTTGTATTATAACTGATGTAGTCAGGTGTAAAAGAATTATCGAATATCAATTCTACGTCTTTATTTGATATCTTCTTATTAAGGTAATATGAAATTCACAATTTCTATAAACATTTGGGTACATTCAATGTTAACTTTGAGTGCTTAACTATTTTTCGTATTAGATTACATTGTCAGGAAATAGCCTACAATTTTTCTAAGGTGAGTTGAAAGTTCACATTCCAAAGAGATGTTTGATGTAAATGCCTAAATAGCCTAGTCCGTGAGACAAATGAAAGATCTAATAATATTACTGATATTCTATTACGGTGATTTGCACAAATCATAGAACCATACAAATTTCGATTGGATAATAAGTACATACCTTACAATGATTATTTGGCCAGGTAATGAGATGCTAATTTCTTGTGGTATATATTTCACTTTCCGTAAGTGGAGGGATCCGAATGGCAAAATGCAGCTAGAAAGTTTCAACACGTCTTAGATGATGTATTTGTGAACATAAGTCGCAGATCATAAGCATACGAAGAATTTTTGATTTCTTTTCTTCTTTTGTTTTCGTTTTGTTTTTGGAGCGATTTATGACGGAAAGAAGGAATAAGGCAACAAAGATAACAGAATGGCCAAAATGAAAAAAAAATTATTTGCTGGAGTTTCGAAGCAGTAAACTCATTTGTATATTATTGTCATTGTTTGGATTTTGGTAGAACCTTTGGTTTCTCAACATTCAGCAATCTTGTATGGTAATTTTATTTTCCATTTTCATGTTTTTTTTTGCATTTTTTCTCCTTCTCCTATACACACACTCATTCACTCACTTTGAATTCGTTTAGTATTTTTTGGTTTAATACACCATAAATGCAATTCTCAATTCGGTTAAATGTTAACTATTCTCGTTGGTGCGTTCCGTTGGATCGATAAGATACGTTTTTCGGACTTAAAATTACAGGAAAAAATATATATCTAACAATAAAAACGCGAAAATATTTGCGTGACTTGTTTCTTCGACGACAATTAAAAAATGCCCGACCGACTGTCAGCAATGACATCGACTTTCAATATCATATCGTTCCGGAATAGGGATGCGTAGGTCGACTTTCGATTAATCGACATTTTGTATTGAAAAGTCCAAGAGGACGTTGGATCGTGCGGAAAATGCAAACATTTAAAAGGAAAATCGCAAGAGGATCATCAGAAGTGGGCTTGAGGTTAGCTGCACGATAAAAAGTCGACTTTGACTTTTATACTTTTAAATACAAACAGTCGATACGTCAACATACGCATCCCTATTTCGGTACGGACTAGTTCAAAGAAACGACACCGTGAAATGAACGATCGGAACTATGTTAGACTTTAGTTCGCCTAGTCCACTACGAGTATACGAACATACTTATTATTGTGGTTGTAACGACCACTTTGATGAACATAGGGTTAGGGATCTACAAGTTGATTGTAGTGTATTTTTTGCCTAATATGTTCGATCAGTTTCTGAGCGGGATGCGTTTTGTTTGTCGTGAAAAAAAGTGAAATTGTTGAAATTATAAAAAGTAAAATAAATAGTGAAAATTACAGATTGTAAATAATTTAAAATGGCGTGTGATTCGTTTCTTTAAAGTTCCCTGAGCTGTGGTAAGTACATATATATTTTGTTTTATTATCATCTCATTAAATTTATTGAGTATAAAACAGGAACTTATGAAGATTTTATTTCTTTCGCAATTTCTCCTTTCGTGACAAAAAATCTTCTATAATTTCTTCAACAGTTCGGCCATAGGAATTGTTTTCCAGTTCCTTATTGCATTTCATCCGAATATCTGTGAGCATTCCATCCGTTTTGAAATACCCGATCACCGAGTTTCGTTTAATCCATTTTTCAATCATATTTTTTGGCCAAAGTTCGTTGAAATATTTCAATTGATAATACGATTCATATGTTTGACAATATTTTCTTCTTTTTTCGGCATCCATCTGCGGAATATTCAAATACGTTTGGCGTATAATACGATACGGATCGTAGTGTTCGTTGTAGTTTTCCTTGTGCACTGCCTCCCATTTAATATGCAACATTGTGTCGTAAAGTTTTTTGGGTCGACCCAATATTCCGTGACTGACGTCGATTAGACACAACTGAGAAGATGGCACGATATACTCCAATTCGATTTCTGCAATACGAATATCATAGCCACGATATTTTCTTTCCCCTACCCAAAGTAGAGGAAGATTTTGACTTTCGACATTGGCAAGTTCTTGTATTAATGGGGAACTTTGAGCCCGATAATTGCAACGTTTATAATGCTTGCCATATAATAAACGGGCTTCAACATTTGACAAACCCAGATTGCAATGAACCAATGCAAAGTGTTCAGATCTAAACAGACGATCTATTTCCCAATTTATAACGGTTAAACTTCGTCTCTCTGTAGCAATCCACACAAGGACTGTACAAAAAGCTAGAAAGCTCTCGTGAAATTGTTGATCTTTTGTTGACAGTGAAATATTAACCACGGGTTTCATATGGTAAAACTTCTTCATATCGCCATTTCCCAACAGTATTCGACTGTACTCCCTAGCCAGCAGTAGACGGTGTTGAGATATATTCGCTGAAAATATACGTTTGATCTCAATGCTGTCCTGATTCTGCATTCGTGCCTTCTCGCCCATCATTTCTTCTCTGCGAATCAATATGAACTGCAGTACTTTCAGGAAGTATTCGAAATATATGATTAACGCTTTCAACAGGGAGTGAACAGATTCAGTATTCAGAAAGCTAACAAAGGGTTTGGTGGTCATTTGTGTAGGAGCCAGAAATAATACAAGATTTTTGATATCTTGCACAAGTATAACGTCGGCGTCGTGTGTATTATCCGGTCTCTCAAACTCCTGGCGAAATATCATTGCTTCAACTTGATCCATTGTTCTTTTGAATTTGTGTCCACCAACTATGATATATTCTTCATTAATTTCCCCTGAATTTCTCTTTGCCAAAATGTGTTTGGGTTCGAAACAGAGCTCAGGTTTTGGTCCCATTTTTGATTAATTTATTGAATGTAAAAATATGGAATTAAAATATAATAAAATATACATACATAGTTTTGCATTTGTCATAGTGTTTTCTATGGGCAATTACAAAACTTTCCCAGTCTGTTCGAGAAAAATGTTTAAACAAATGATTGCAACTTTTTTTTTAGGATTTGGTGCTTTATTTTTAATAGTATTGGAAATTAGCGCTGATACATAATTATTGAAATTATTAAGCCTAGGGAATATTTATTTTTAAATATTATAAATTTACATAATAAATTTCTTTTGTAACAAGAAGCCATTATTTTGTATTTACATAAACTACGGATACGCTGGGTTGGCGATCATATCGTCTATACCACTTCAAACTTTCCAGAACAACAGTTTAGGTGGTCCACCGAATGCTGGACTGTAGGCAACTCTTTGGTGTTCTCTTTTATCTCAGTTATGATGTCTTGTATTTTATGTAGAATCTGTTGAGATTCCAAGCTATTTAAATTCTTAATATGCGGTTCAGCCACGGGTATACTGTTGTCATTTGTTGGACCAGTTGTGTTGTTGTTGGTCGAAGGCAATAATGGATCTTCTGGACGGGATTTCCCTTCCACTGGAACATCATGTGTTATGCTTTGCGCTAGTGCTTCATTAAGCTGTTGGTGCAATTGATGTTGCTGCTGTGTAAGTGGTATTTCCATGCCTAGACTGTTGACAAGATTATTCAACATGGTCAGACGTTCTCTCATTTGCTGCCGTTCTTCCTGCAGCAGAGCTGTTTGAGCAGCTTTTTCATATTCCCTTTGCTTTAATATACGCCTTTGTGTCTGATACAAAGCAATGTATTCTCCTATTGTCTCTGTTTCCGATTGCAATTGCATAACTAAATGTTCCAAGCGTTGTTTTTCTTCGGTAAGATCTGCAACTTTTCCCATGAGTTGCGTAAACCTTAATTGCAATTTTTCGACCGCTTCTTCTGTAGCAATGTGTGGAGTTTTAGAATTAGATGCTGTGCTTACTTTCGGCGATATAGTTTTCGGGACAATTTCGGTAGCTTCTTGACATGTATCGACTTGTGAATTGCTTTCATTTGCTGGGCCTTGGTGGTTTTTGATTTCGTTATCGCGAGTATGATCATGTGTTTGATGGTCGTGCACATGTTTGTCATCATTGCAATTATGGTGGTCATGACCATGACGATCATTATTATGTTCTGTAATGTCGTTATGATCATGATGGTGATCATGTTGACAATCATCTCCATGATTATGATCATGGTTGTGATCAACTTCATGATGATGATCGTGTTCATCCCCATGATGGTGGCCGTGGTCATGATGATGGTGATTATCTGCATGATTGTGTTCATGGTTATGTTCTCGACTTTTCCATCCAGCCTAAGGACATAAAAATAAATATATTTGACTTTTAGAAAAGAACGACCTATTATTTTACATACCCCATCTCCAAGTCCCAACTTCTTTTTCAGTTCTTCATTTTCATGAGAAAGTCGTATCATTTCCTCATCTTTAAATTTAAAGCGCTCGTCTAGTTCCTGCACCCGTTGTTCCATTGCACTGTAATTGGAGCGCATTTCACGATTGGAGTACTGTTCTGCATCGAGCTGGTTCATAAGATCGGCCTTATCGTTAGTAAGTTGAACAAAGCGAATTTCTAATTCGTCTAGTTGTTTTTTCAATTCGACATTCTGTGACAAAGCACGCGAAGCTGCTATCTTGTCCGATTCCATGGCAGCTAACAGCTTCGTCTTATCCGGTTGCTCAGCTGTCACATTTTCTATATGCTCTCTCAATTCTTCAACTTCTTGTTTCTTTTGCTCGTACTCGTTCTGCAATGTAATCAGACGGTCTTCCTGTGACTTAATTTTTAACTGGAATTCATAACGCTCAGTTTCATATTCTTGAAGACGATCTTGTAGCTCCTGCAATTGTTGACTGGTCGCTTCGGAGGTACTCTGCAAGGACTAAAAATTCAAATTCTGTGTATTAGGAAAGTTAATAGATAAAATGACATACCACTTGTTTCTCCTCTTTGATTTCAGATTGCCGCGTGAGGTTTTTCTGTATTTCCCTTTCCAATTGCTGCACATGATCGACCATTTGCTTCTCCCTTTCACGAAGTTTGGAAGACTCTTCCGTTAGTTCATTGTTCCGTTCGTTTAGTTGATTTACTTGGGCGTTCAGTTGTTGAACGTAGGTCTGATATTGGGTGTTGGCCTGTTCCTTGTCCTGTGTCAACTGCTGCACCATTGCCTGCAGATCTCTTATTTGCTGTTCGTACATAAACTGAGTTTGTGTCAAGGTTTCAACGCGATTATCCTTGGTTATGTTGCTTTCATCAGACAGTTGACGAATCTTCAGCTGTGCTAGTTCCAATTCATTGCACTTCTCCTTGTATTCATTGTCCAATGTCTTGAGACGTTCTTCGCGTAATTGCATTTGCTGCTGCAGCTCTAGCAAATGAGATGAATGGTCCTCATTAAGGGCTCTAGTTTGGGCAAGTTTGTGTTGCAGTTCGGCATTTTGCAGTCTGTGTTGCTCCAACTGTTTTTGGGTATCTTTCAAATGATTCTGTAGATCATCTACACGTTTAGTTACATTGTTGTACTGCACTCTCAGTTCCTCCAATTCGAGATCCTTTTCTCGACATGTTGTTCGATATTTGTTCAACTCGGATGTTAGTTGAGCCTTTTCACTTATTAGGATCTGTATGGCATTTATATTGTGAGCGCCTTCGGCCACTGCTTGTTCATCCACCTGACTAGTGGGCAATGTCAATGGAGATGATTTTAGAAGCAAGGCTTCTTGCTGCGGTGCAGCTGGTTGTGGTGGAGTAGGATTCGAAAAGTAATTGACGGTCTCCAGTTCTGATGAGCTGCTGATGGCATCATCATGTTGAGTCCTGTTTATTGGTCCAACGTCCACATTAGTGCCATTTAACTGGAGGTCGGATTCGGAACGTTCTGATATATTACTGCTAACATGGCCACTGTTGCTATTGCTGACTGTTTCGACTTGCTGTGGCATTGGATCGGCATTACCACGTTGCTGGTACTCTCTCAGCTGAAACAAATGTAAATGTATGTTAATATATGCATTTATTTCAAGAAGATTATCTGTTTTCAGAGTTCGATATTATCCCCGTAGCACCAACAAGCAAACAACCCAACACAGTGACGTGTCATCTGTGTTCTATTTGTTTTGGATGTGAATTTGAATACCTTTTTACGGGCAGCTGCCAATTTTTTGGCTTTACTCTCCTTGGATTCTTCGGGCATTTTGTTGCAGCTCCTAAATTTTTGTCAGTTGTCGTTTTGGGTTAATTAAATTCAATTTTTCTTCATATTCCGAGACTCAACTCCAATGTTTTTTTCGATGTCTGAAATAAAAAACGTTCCAACTGCTGCAAATAGGGACAGAAGAAAAATGTCTGCTAAAGAAGACACTCAAAGCGGGCAGACAAATATCGATTTTTCTGTTATCGAATGATAATATCTAGGCAGGATATCGAATATTTTTATACATGGCAATGTTAGTACAGACTGGTACCAAGTCTGTAGCTATTCGGGTATTTGCTGTAGCAAATTTTTTGAAGCATATTTTTAGGATGTGTTGACACACTAGTCTATGGTGTTTTGATATGACATTTTCATATACAGCCAAAATCGCTTATAATGACAGTCAAGGGACTGACAAAATTGGTCGCTATGATCGATATGTTGTTACAAAAAGCGTTATAAACAAATTCACTGTATTCAAGTCGCCCTGATATAATGAGCACATAGATTTTTTACATACAAAGGGTGAAAAAAGCTCAAAAAGTTGGTTCTGAAGTCAATTTCTGAGTTTAAGAAGCAAACATCTAATCGCGAATTATTTCAGTCAACTTGATAACAAACTGAATATTATGAATATACCTTGCAAAATAAGTTCATTATGTCTAGAAACGATACTACTTCGAAAATGTGTATTAAAAATATCAAATTTATGAACACCTTTTAAAGTATAAAATTTATGTATGTACACATCGATTAGATTTATGTATATAACATTTCATATGATCAATCACTTACATACCTCCGCAATAAAACAATTTGAAAATAATTGTAAAATTCTTCTATTTATTTTGTATTTCGTATTGAATGCAAATTTATAATATTTTTTTTTCATAAAAACAATATGAATGATGAACTTATGATGTATGACTTTTTTTGAGAATATCTGGATTTTTTTTTTTTTTTTTGCATTGAAATAAATAAATTAACGATAGTTGACAATGAAGAAAGTGTTATTTTGGCTTTGTCCTTAGATGTACTTTTAGAAATAACTTAAAAACTAGGAGGAATTCTTATATGTAAACAATATACGCACATACAAACGCCATTCACACACACACATTTGTAAGTGCGTTAAGAAAGCTATCACATAATTAATATAATTAAACCTGATGATATATTATTAATACAATTTATGATAAAAATTAAAAATAAAAACCAAGTAGATTTAAAAAACATTGAATAAAAGCAAGGAATTTTCTTAAGAAAAACAGATCTTTAACATTTCTCAATGTTAAATAAAAATGTTTTTTTTTATATTTGAGATATCTTCCAAATGGTTTTTTTTTCGTCTGTGTTGGTAGAGAAGAAATAGATTTTCACTTAAATTTGTAGAGACTAAAATACATTGCTCGTTGAGATATGCAGACACATCATCGTTAATACAACCAAAAAAGTCTTTGTTCCAGGTCCCACCACTCCGGTAGAGGGAGTGGCGAGATATTGAGGCAGCGCCATTCTCGCAGTTTTAACTCCTTCTTGGACAAACGCTACATTCGATATCAGCCAAATCCCATCAGATACTTTGGCAAATAAACTATTGAAGTCAAGAGACTGTAGCTAAATGTGATTGGGGAGGAGGAATGGTAGAGAAATTAATAAACCTTCAGCGTCAGTTTTAAAATGTGTTTCTTTTATTAATTAGCTGATTTTTATTAAATTGTTGAATATTTACAAGTGTTTGATATAAAAGTTAAGCCACAACCGTGTTTATACTTAGTCTACATCCATTTCCAGAGTAAATTCCCAAAGCGATCAATATTAAACAAAGGATATAATAACATCGGGAATCTGCCATTCCGTGGTGGTTGACGTAGCATCATCCATTTCTCCGGTTCCATCGTTAGAACCAATGACATTGTTTTCACTGTTGATTCATTGGGAAGATTTGGGATTTTGTGTTAATACCGATTCGAGTGTTAATGAGGTGTTAGTGGACCTTTGCCGCAGTTGATATATGTGTACCAGCTATTTGGCGAGAATGTGGCGCATACATCCCGATACGAATGTTATGACTCCCACATTATCGGCAAGTAGCTGTATGTATGTGTAGGTATGCTACGATGAATTCTTTCAATTCGAAAAAGTGAATTTGGGTTAGCAAATAATGAAATGCTGTTTGTTATAGAACTTGTTGCACTGCACTTATGGTAATGTCAAGTCTGCAAAAGAAACGTATAAATTTTGCTAAGGTGTGGTTTTTGATTTGGCCAACAACAGCAACGACAACAACAAAAAGCCATGGTTAGTGAAAAGCAAATTTAGTTTTCGAATTTATACGACATCACACCAATTTTATGTTTTTTTTTTGGGTTTTTTTTCGATTTCTTGTTCCAATTTACAAAAATAGAGAATTCGTTTATGTGTGTGCGTGGTGTTGTGTGATGGAGAATTTGGTTATGTAAAGAGTACGTACGAATTGCTGAGACCACGATATATCCAAGATTTCCATGATTTGCCAGATTCATCGTCGACCTTGGCTTCTAATTCGGAGCAGAAGTGTCGTCGGTCATGGGATCGTCCGCTCTTCGCATCACAGAGAATACGTTTTCGACACTCAGCATCGCATGTCGGTCTTACCGGCGAATTCTTCCAGTAGTTTCTTAAAAAGTTAAAATAATTGTTGATACTTCCTTTTGCCAAGTCTAACAGTACTTACTTATAGTATAAATCGAACAATTCCTGATTACGGGTCAGTTCCGTAATAAGATTGTCCCAGTCAACGGGCCTCAGAGCCTTCATATTGTAAGCTGCCCTGGCCGTGTACAGTTTATACCAAATGGGATAGTCGTAATGGTTAGCCTCCTTCAAATTCATAATCCACGATTCGTGATCGATTACCAGACGTGTGGTTGTGTCATGATCTCCATCCACATAGTAGATGCGATAACCGGGATTTAAATCGTAATAGGGAGAAACAGAGGGTCCAATGTAGGCAATATTGTTTGGATGTCCTGTGGCGGAAATAGACAACAATTGATGTTTAGTAAAAAAAAAAGATTTTAGTACTATGGAAAACCTACCCAAATCTGCTGGGTCATAGAACATTTCGAATTCATCGAAATGAGTGTGACCATAGAATTGTGCCATAATTGTATTCTCGTAACGGGCAATAATCTTATAGAAATTGCGGGACCACACTTTCAAACAATCAGAGTGACCGGGCGGTATGTGTCCAATTACATGGACCTTTTCATTCGAAAATTCTGCACTTTGCAATTCGTAGATGAACCATTGAAGTTCGGTTGCTGGATCGGTCGAATTTAAAAGTAACCACCTGCGAACAAAGGGGGAATTGGAAATTGGACATCAACTGCACTGATGCTCAAGATTTGAACTTACCAATTTTTGTTATTACAATAATTCATATTTAGCGAAATGATGCGGAAGCCAGGTCGGACCAACACTGAATAGAAGGCGCCACGACGCACGGTGTGCGAAACACTTTGAGGCAACCAACGGCGCCATTGAACATCAAGTTCGTCATAAAGCCAGGCTATTGAATTTTCCACCTGATTTACATACGGAGGTGGGAAACTGTTGACGGGAGCACTTTCATGATTGCCCAGAGCTGGAAAGATGGGCACTCCAGGGAATTTCTCTGTCATTTGACGTACAGTCTCCTTAATGATTTCCAAATTCTCCTGTTTTGTTTGGTTCCAAACATCATGCGGTGGCAGATCCCCTGTCCATAGTATATAATCAATATCACTGTGGGTCTCTGCTATGTGCGACAACATATTATCGACGGTGCGTTTGGGCGTATCGCATTTCCGATAGTCGCCCCATTTCCCGGCTGCGGCATTGGGATTTGCTGGTCTGCCACTGCTCAAACGACAGCAGAGCGGCTCATTGCAGTCGGCATTTGAACCTTCCACATAGTGCGGATCGTAGTGGGTATCCGAAATCTGTAATACCTTGAAGAATGGCGCTCCCTCCTTAGGAACTGGCACTTCCATCACTGGAGGCTTTGGCACCGGCGGAAAGACAACTTCCCACTCGTGATAGGGGTTATAGGTGTCTTCACAACCATCGCCGATGACAAAACTACAAATTTCATTTGGTCCCAGAGGTGTTCTTTGCAATACATATACCACCTCCGTGCCGAACAGGTTCGCCACACCCTCACATACCCGAGGACTTTGAATATTCAAATTGGAACAGAATTGATAGATCATTTTGATGATTTCGCCCTCGGACTTGCCTGTGTGGATATAGTGCAGCAAAAGACCGGCTCCAGCTTTGCACGCGGTACACGAAACTTTAGACAAAAGACTGTGCTCGATCTCGTAGGAAACTTGTTTCAAGTTGAAAAGCTTTAGGGCCTTGTCCACGAATGGTGGATAAGCCAAACCATCGGGTGTGTTGTCATACCACAGCATGCGAGGCTTAGATGTGTTGTTCTTAATTCTCTGCAGCCTCTCGAGAAACTCCTCATCGCTTATCGAAGCTTCGGCATTGGTGCGGTTTTCAAAGTATTTCAATTCAACATGCGGCACAATGCTGCGTGGTATCGAAACAATTTGCCAATCATCTTCGGGTTGTGTCCAATTTATCGACTGTCGATGTGAGTGATATGTTGGAAATGCTACGGAGGAAAGTGTTGTTTAAGAGTGTTGCTACCATGGTAGGTGAACACTTACCTTGTATTCCCACCACTGCCACAAGGACCATCCATGCACAGATGGTCTGAGATATTGTCATATTATTGATGCTTGTAAATGGAACTTGTTTAAGACTTCAGGCTATTACCGCTGCTATCATTCGAATTGGGAAAACGAAAATCTGCAACAGAAGGAGAAAACAATTATAAATTTATTTTGATTTATTTACTCTATTTTTTTAGAATGTCCATCCATCTCAGCGACCGACAATAATTACAAAAGTTTAATTACAAGTCGAAAGTTCTCTGCCCAAAATTGAGTGGCATGTTGAAAATTCCTTGTGGCTTAGTGGCAAATAGCACAGTTCTAAGCATTTATTCTTTTACTTTCAATTGCATTATTATGCTTAGGTCATGGCACCGAAAACGACGAAGAAGAATAGGAGTTGCATAAACCTCTTGAGATTTGTAGAATGGTTTTCGGTTTTCGAAATGACTTGACACTGCAACAATGGACCAAGTAGTGGCATGAGTAGTATGTTATACAAGAGTATTTCAGGAGTGAATTGCACAAATTTTTATGTAGGTTAAGCTAAAAGTGTTTTAAAGAAAACCCATTGACCTAGTTTTATGGAGTTGTATGGGAAATGCACTACGATAATTGTGGTCATTCAGTACCAATTGAAATTGATATTGATCTGTGACCAGAACTCATTTTAACACTTCAAATTCGGTATTATTCTTAAATGACGAATGTAATGAAAAGCATGTCGGGAAAGGGAAAAGTCGACATTAAAATATTTTACGAAAACATATATGGGGAAGTAATAGAAATAGTTTTTTTATTTAATATTAAGCATATGATCTGTTTCCTTGCTTAAAAAAGACAAATTCGTTTAATAGAAGATTCTTGCAGGTTCTGGAATAGATCTGATTTTAGTCGGAAACAATGCGACGTCCAGATAATACTTGAAAACGTATTATTTCCCATTTCTAAGGGAAATGAAATATGTGGTCAAGTATCTTTTTCGCTTTTCAGATCTGATTGTTGGACATGGTGGGAATTTGTCATCTACTGTCATTAGGTCACACTATAATAACATCTCATATCACAGAAGTTGCTAAAATGGACTACCTACCACTGCTTGTTGAGAATGCGACATGCATCTCAATCTATTAGTAATAGTTCACACAATTTTTGAGTCAAGTTCCCACTTATATAAGAATAATATCAGAAAATTACACTTATTGATATGGAACGGGAAAAGTAAAGGTGCATTGCCTTGGTATTCTATAAATTGAGTTCTGTTCCGGAAAAAATAATTTCCAAAATTTCCTGTTTCCCTTAAACAAACATATTTTGAGAGATTCCAAAAAAGAACACAAAGAAATGTCATTCTAAAACGTACGAGGCTAATAAAACAATTGCATTTGGAATTGTTTTAATTAATCTACAAAAATAGAAGCAAATCAGTTCAATTATTTCGTGTCGAGATCAAATGCTACGTTTATCAGGGTTCCATGTAATGTATTGTCATCACATTTGTTGTTGTTTTTTATTTAAAAAAATATATTTTCCAATTATAGAGATAACGAAGTGAGATTAATAAAACGTATTTGAGTAATTTAATTTGACATCAGTGGACTAGAACAATGGCGCCAACAAAGGCAATGGAACGAACCATTGTGTTATAGGTAGGAAAAAAAGAAACAACAACCATTCAGAAATGTTCATTACTGTCGCAGTCCAATGCTAAATAATGCTCTATAATAGAGTAATAAATTCCTTGGCTCTTTCTCTCTAAAATTTTACTAAAATTGTTACAGAGGAACTACATAAAAACATTAATATTTAATTTTTTCAGACAATAATTTAGCCGGGTATCCACAGGTGCCATCACTGTACCTCAGTATTTCCATACGAGTAGACTATGCTTTACGCATTTTTGTTAATGGATAACTTCAGTTTTGTGATGATTTCATTCACATCGACATTTGCCATAAGTCAACTTCCTTCCTATTCACCAATTTGTGCAAACTAATAAAAATTATTATTCACAGCGTGTGTATGTAGGCGTAGTTCTTTCTCCAAGATAGATATTTTGAATTTCTGGTTTGCATAAATAATAATCGGCTATTATTCAAAAAATTAATCTGAAAGAACAAAACGATGATAAGAACCGTCCGATTTTCAAGTAAAATGTACAAGAGCATTGGGAACTATTTAGAACATTCTGCAAGAGGAAATTTTGAAAGGAATATTGTTTTACAGTACCGTACAATATAGACACTAAATAACCATAAAATTTTAATATTTTCGATTTTAAAAATTGGTGTTTACCAAGAAAAGAGGACCAATAGTATCATTTTTGGCAGGAATCATTCTACCCTTTGAGGACCCAGAATGAAATATTCCAACCAATTCGTTTGAAGAATTCGAATATGGCCTTTAAATTTAAAATACACATACTCGGAAAATGGTTTAAAAATGTGGCTAAGGTTTCTTAAACTATCTAAAAATCCCTTTTGGATATACTAACAAATGCGTCTTTATTGGTATCTGAACGAAAATGAAATAAGATGTTAAACTGCATTTACATTAGAACATTTTTTGTCGGGTTAACCTACACTAAGCGAATTTGTTTGACATATATACCATGGAATTGGTAATTTAAATCCACTTTATTCACGAACTCCAGTACAATGTAAACGCACTATTAGTTCTATTTCGGGTTTAAGTAAGCACCTTTAAGTATCTAAAAGTGGGCGGCATTATTATGTATGCTGTCAGTAGAGTAGAAATGTTGGATGATCGATAAAAGTTTTCACCACAAATACTGCCAAGACTGTAATTTTTAATTTTTATTATTCATCAATCCGCTCCTCAAAACACACCTTGAAGAAGTCCCAAGATATTTCTATTTTTTTCTTGGATCGAAAATGTAATCGTGATTATGATATTGTCATTATAATATTAGTTTGCACTTATATAACAAAAACGATTATTACAACAATCACGAAATGTTATGAAATTTGAAAAGGAAAAAAATAAATCCAATTTCTCTCTTGGAGAAAAATGGATGGGAAATGAATCAAAAAAAAAAAAAAAAAAAAACACAACAACAACAAACAATAACATTGAAAAATATTTTGAAGATCCCACTCAAAATTACTACTGATAGATATCAGTTACAAATTGTTGTATTCGAATAACAATACATACACACCCAGAGAGGTGTATTAATATAAACACGCCAATGTATCCAGTGTTCATTGCGGGCTTTTTGTTTGTTTGTTTGTAATACCAATTAATTGCGACTTCAAGTGTCTTTTGTTGTTTAGTGTAAAATAAAAAAGGTTTCACTTTTCAAAACAATGTCGTTTCTATGCTGTCACAGTCAATGTTCGACGATTTGAATGGCCAGCCGGCCCTTTCCTTTACATACATACTCATAGATTGAGGTATGAACGGTACGGGATTGGACGTTGCTTTGTAATTTTTCCACAGACAACCGGTTTTTTGCATGGTTGCCTTGGTTTAAAAAGCTTTTGGAGTCATTCGTTTCCACTGACTGTGCGTAAATGTAAACAATCAGCCATTAGCGTTCGGAGACAAACAATAACAACAAAAACAACACATGGTCATTTGCACATGAACTTGTATGAAGGATAGTTATGATCGCCATAAAGAAAAAAAGAGACAGCATCACTCATTGTCAATGATGGAGTCTTGAGCTAAGAAGAATCATGATGGTATTTCTGCGCAGTTCCATTATCACACGGAAAAAACCTTGCATTTCGTAATTGAGGTTATTATTTTCATATTTATTTTATAAATAGCTTTATGATGGTCTTACCCATTTAAATTTTAAATTGAACAACAATTCAAAACAGTGTGTTACAATACTTTTTGAGAAGTTTGTCCTATGTTCACTGAAAAGAGGTCAATATTTTTCCAGGGCACCTGGCAATCCAAGTCTACTTTTTTTCTTTAACTCACATATTTTTTTATGAATTGTAATATCTCTCCTCCATTTATTTTAAATTCCTATATTCAATCAGAATTTCACAAAATATCGAATGGAACACTTAAGCATTCAGCGCTAATCATATATTATTATTATTGAATTGAAAACTTTCTAATACGATTCTAATTATGATATCATAGCCAAATTAGGCCATGTTTCTTTTCATTATTCCCAAAAATGCTGTAGCAAGACACGTGCTACGACATCAATAGCGCTGGGTTGGCAACCCTATTCGAAATCAAAAGCAGAGATGGCCTGTCAGAAACAGTGACGTAAATGACATACAATTCCGACGTATAATACATACGTCAGAAACGTCGGAAACCTACCTAAATCTATTAGGTTTTTGACAAAATAGCTATTTCCATTAATCAATTTGGGAATTACGCATGCTTTACTCAAATCGATATAAAATTTCAAAATTTTCTTCTCAAAAAAATTGATAAATTTTTATCAGTTCTAGTAAGGAATAGTCAGATATATGTAAAAATAATATATATTCTTGAAAATAACTGTATATGCTGATAATATTGATATAAATGACGTTTACTACGTTTATTACATTTTATACAGGTATATGACGTTTTCGACGTTTACCCCTTTTTGACAGTCGAAAACCTAAAAATTCGTCACACGGACCATCCCTGATCAAAAGGCCATATAAATCATGTAATATTTATGCGCCAACTTAATGAAAATGTTACAACAAAAAACCCGTTTTGGCCATTGTTGGGTGTTCTGTGGATAATGCAACAAAATACCACCACCACAACAACAACAACGACGACTTCCAACTCCAATGAATGGGAAACGAACAGGTCACCACCACAACCGCCGCAATGGTAACTGAAACAGAAAACAAAACAAACCTAACCTAACCGCACCAAAATTAACGGCAATACTTTGTATTTCTTTTATTTTTCGATACTTTCACTTTCGTTTTCTTTTAGTCGTTTATGGTTGTTGTTGTTGTGGTTTTATGTGTATGAATCTTTTGCTGAGCCTCCGCCAACACTCAGGTGTATGTGTTGTAAACGAATGGTTGAATGTATGGATTGATATGGTTGCTGGATGTTTGTCTGTCTGTC